AGGCAAAAAAATAATGCTGTTTACTCTGCAAACGTACTTCGCTAATGATATGCACCTCACTGTCTCTTATTATTTTATATTGCATGCTAACTGCAGGGGGGTCTTGTGCACAATTCTGCGTACCGTTCCTTCGCTAATAATCTTGGTTATTGCATGACCTAATTATATTAACAACTAAGGATGAAGACAGAATGTGCTTGACTTATACTAGGTCATTAAAAAGCAACTTTCAACCGCCATACGTCAGACATTTCACCTAGTTTATAATATAGCAAATCAAATTTTTGGTGATAGGGGCACTGTAACAAAGCAAAAATCTTTGTTTGCAATATTTTTTATCAATCAAAATGCTTTGTTTGCAATATTGTGAAAATATCTAATTAAATATTGAGGCTACGTGTGGTAATGTAAAATGCAATGATGTTTGATAAATATTTATGTTGTAAAATTTTTCTAAAAGTTATCGTCCTGTTTATGTCTTGTACGAGTTTTAGTGCGTTTTAAACGTTGTAGTTGCTGAAATGGTAATGCAATCTATAGAGGAACGGGTGCTGACGTCTTACAAGCATGCACTACCTTTTTGGTTCCGCTACGTAGATGACACAATCACTGCACTACATGCCGCACTATGTGATTCACCGTACGCTCTACACAATGAAAACAACTATCTCAAACGCGTTTTTGAGAAAAACAACTATAACTCTGACTTTATCAAACGCAATACTTACAAACCCAAGGAACCCAACGAAACGAACAACTCAGTGACAACAGCAACGATACCTTACATCAAAGGTACGTCTGAGACTATCTCGCGTATCTTACGACCATACAACATACCTGTCGCATATAAACCAATCACAACGTTACGACAAGTACTAACAACATAAAAGATAAAGAACAATCCGATTAACGACAAGGTGCAGTTTACAAAATAAACTGCTCCGACTGCCCCACATCCTATATCGGGGAAACTGAAAGAAACTTAAACATTAAGACTTACTGAACACAAACGAGCTACTAAGAAACAAGACAAAACTAATCACATTGCCGAACATCACCGAATCACAAAGCACACTATTGACCGGGACTCGGCAAAATGCATTACTTACAGTACTGACTATCGACAACGGCTTACATTAGAAAGTTGGTGTACCAACTTGGAACAAACCCCCCTGAACAGATCACAGCAATTACCGGCACCTTTAAAACGACTTATTCACAATACAAACAAACGATCAACTAAAAACATTACACTTCACACTAATTGACAATGACAATACACAATCGACACCCAAACATTACAACCAAACACATCACACCTATTCGATAAAAATTAATCAAAATATAATAACCTAGCTCATTCATCAATAAACAGTTACGTATTTGAAGACGCACCTTGAACGTTGGCTGCGGACAAGCACCACCAACAGCTGCAGTATTGGCGACACATTGACCATTTGAGCGTCTGCCCTTTTTCAAATTCCTGCAAAAATTGTTTAAACTATTTTTGACATTGGAAGGACAACGAGAGTAAATGTTGTTACACAGCCTTGTGACGTCACCATAATCATGACTGTAGTCATTCTCAGAACATTTTTGTGTCCCTTGTGAGCATAAGGCTTCTTTCAGAGCATTTGTACATTTAAGTGAATGCCAAGTTGAACATAGAGATTTACTCTATTTGAAATGATAGCATTTTCCTGTGGATAAATTTTGGCGATGTATGGATTTAATTTCCAGTTCAATCTACAAGGACTTGCACTTTGTACGGACACACATCCTTCTCTTTTTGAAAATACGTAAAGCTTTCCATCGGGTGCTTTTCGTTTTACGATGTTGCACAAGAAGACATCAATAAGCAGCGACAGTAAAAGAAAAAACAAAATTATTACTTTAAAAGAATGTGCCATTTTTTCTTAAACAATTCGGAAAAGTTACTCGCATATGTTGATTGCAGGAATCCTAAACAGAACTAAACAATCCCAACCAAGCCAAAATCCTTTTTCTTGTCTACGTTCTATGGAAGCTGATATTTGAAAGAATGTCATGTTTACGTCACTTTACGTCATACTTCAGCGCTTACAAAAACAACGGCTTCAGCGATTGCATACATCCTTGTCATACAAGCACTTCAGCGCTTGCAAAAACAAGGCTTCTTTTATTGTGTCTAAAATTCTTTTTTTTATCTAAATATCTACAATTTATTTAAAATGTTCCTTTTTGCACTTGTAAGTTTTGTCTTGACTAAGTGTGTGTATTAAAGGGGTAGTCAGACCTTAACACAACTTTCGCTCATATGAAAGTGTATATTGTTCTTACCTCTCTCGCGAAATCCTAGGTTTCCAATTCAAATTTAACTCGAGAAATAATGCCTTAAATGTGTGTATTTTTTCCTCTTGTTCGATCGCCATTGTGTACATGGAAGCGAAGCCGCAGTCCAGCAGCGGTTTTTCGTCGTGACGTCACTGCGCGGTGATCGTTGTCAAAATTGGACAAAATATACTAGCAAAAGTAGAAATTACGCATAGGCATATTCATAGTTAAATTTTATTTTCTAAGTTTTTAAATTATTTTGCGCAATGGATACGGATTACTCAAACGATTCGTCTAGTAATTATTCTGGAAGCAGTGTTTCAAACTACGAAGAAATGATTAACGATCAAAACATGATTCAACCATATGCTTATGAGCCGATTGAAACAGACTCTAGCGACGAGCCTATGGACGACTCCGACGAAGTTCAGCTGTTGTAACAATGAATGAAGACTCAGCACAATTTGAGGGAATAGATACTCCGGACTGTATTACAGATAATCCTGTTTTTCCAAATCTTTGTTTAAATTATTGGGTATTACGACTGGCATGGAGTGAGTACAAACAACACTATGGTTATAATAGTTTACATTGCCATTATTATTAATCAGCAAATTTAAAACCCTCAAAGACAAAGTCCTCTTCTAGACCTGGTGTTTGGAAATGTGCTCGAATGCAGCTAACAGCACAAGATGGTAGTGGTACTCTAATTTCCTTGCTCAATACATTCCAACACCATCGAACCAGTTGCCTGTAAGCCACATGTCTTTGTATTTTGTGTTCAGGTTCTTCTTCAGCTCTTGAACCATAGTGTTGTTTGTACTCACTCCATGCCAGTCGTAATACCCAATAATTTAAACAAAGATTTGGAAAAACAGGATTATCTGTAATACAGTCCGGAGTATCTATTCCCTCAAATTGTGCTGAGTCTTCATTCATTGTTACAACAGCTGAACTTCGTCGGAGTCGTCCATAGGCTCGTCGCTAGAGTCTGTTTCAATCGGCTCATAAGCATATGGTTGAATCATGTTTTGATCGTTAATCATTTCTTCGTAGTTTAAAACACTGCTTCCAGAATAATTACTAGACGAATCGTTTGAGTAATCCGTATCCATTGCGCAAAATAATTTAAAAACTTAGAAAATAAAATGCAACTATGAGTATGCTTATGCGTAATATCTGCTTTTGCTAGTATATTTTGTACAATGTTGACAACGATCACCGCGCAGTGACGTCACGACGAAAAACCGCTGCTGGACTGCAGCTTCGCTTCCATGTACACAATGGCGATCGAACAAGAGGCAAAAATACACACATTTAAGGCATTATTTCTCGAGTTAAATTTGAATTGGAAACCTAGGATTTCGTGAGAGAGGTAACAACAATATACACTTTCATATGAGCGAAAGTTGTGTTAAGGCCTGACTACCCCTTTAAGTTCCCGTACCGACTGTAAGTACTTCATAATTTAGACTTCCTTAGAAATGTTCTTTTCTTTATCTTGACTTCAAATATACACACACATACATATATCTTAGTGAAAACTATGCCGAAGTACACAATGTTCAGACTCCTCTGTTAATATTTACATACACAAGTTTACATACACAAGCGTTCATACTCTCCTTAACATAATATTTGGCAAAACAATTGTTGCTGCTGGAAAGTGGAAAATGACCCATGTTTTTCCACAAACCAGTACATTACAAATTATAGAAAAGATGGAATTGATATGATTCTAATTTGATTATACAAAATTTTACGACTTGTGTTATAGTTGCGAACAAATTATCAATAAAAGCAAATTAATCATCTTTATAATTAGGACAAGCAGTTCATTTTAATTTAAATGTAGAATCACATGCAGTTTTGCTGAGCATACACTAAGTTTTCGCTGTTGCAGTCAAAAAATATCAACTGGAATCGAGAGTTATCTTATTCTCTTTCCTTGGAATTACTAATACATTAAAAATGAACGACAAATTTCTTTATAGCAAACATATTTCGGCATACTTTTCACTAAGATATATGGAAGTGCGTGTATATTTGAAGTCAAGATAAAGAAAATAACATTTCTAAGGAAGTCCAAATTATGAAGTACTTACAGTCGGTACGGGAACTTAAAAAACATGCTTAGTCAAGACAAAACTTGCAAGTGCAAAAAGGAACATTTTAGATAAATTGTAGATATTTAGACAAAATAAAAGAATTTTAGACAAAATAAAAGAAGCCTTGTTTTTGCAAGCGCTTAAGCACTCGTTGTGTTGTAATTAAAATATAAGTATGACTTAAGTGACGTAACATGACATTCTTTCAAATTTTGGCTTGACATTTTGGCTTGGTTGGGATGGCTTAGTTCTGTTTAAGATTCCTGCAATCAACATATACGAGCAACTTTTCCGAATTATTTAAGAAAAAATGGGACATTCTTTTAAAGTAATTATTTTGTTTTTACTTTTACTGTCGCTGCTTATTGATGTCTTCTTGTGCAACATCGTAAAACGAAAAACACCAGATGGAAAGCTTTACGTATTTTCAAAAAGAGAAGGATGTGTGTCCGTACAAAGTGCAAGTCCTTGTAGATTGAACTGGAAATTAAATCCATACATCGCCAAAATTTACGCACAGCAAAATGCAATCGTTTCACATGCAGGAAATCTCTATGGTCGACTTAGCATCTCACTTAAATGCACAACTGCTGTGAAGAAGCCTTATGCTCACAAGTGACACCAAAATGTTCTGAGAAGGACTACAGTCGAGATTATGGTGACGTCACCAGGCTGTGTAACAACATTTACTCTAGTTGTCCTTCTACTCTCGTAAATAATTTAAAGAAAAACAACTTTTGCAACAATTTGAAAAAAGGCAGACGCTCAAACGGTCAATGTGTCGCCAATACTGCAGCTGTTGGTGGTGCTTGTCCGCAGCCAACGTACAAGGTGCGTCTTTAAATACGTAACTGTTTATTGATGAATGAATTTCGTTCTGTCGATTGACTCAGAGATAATTTTAGGTGAGGAAAACCTAAACTTTGTGTCTTAAAGATAATTTAACGGAATTTCGTCGTTAAGTTGTTAAGCTTGCTCATTTCTTTGCTTTCTGATCGAAAGTTTAGGGTGAAATTGTACTGGGCGTAAGGTCAATTTAACAATGAATCCAAGCACACATACATATCATAGTACGTATGTAATATATAAGCTATATGTGAAATGTGAAGCGTCTGTTTGCGTGTAAGGATCAAGTAGAAGTTATATACAATAAACAAAGAATCGTCGGTAACATAATCCTGTGAAAATGTTGTTATTTTGGGAAACATTAACTAAAAACATTACGACTGAAAAGTTGACTTGTATTATAATGCCTGTTGTTATTTATTCAGTCAAGTGGAACTAAACATGAGCTCGATTCATCAATTATACAAACGAAATTCTTACTTTTCACAAACCTTTATAAAAAAGTAGAATCTTAAAGTCAAGTTATTATGGCGAAGTTAGAACTCATATATATAATGGAATCTGCTGTCTGGTGATAGTCCTATGACTAAAATCAATTTTTAAATCTTTAACGAGTTTAATATAAATGATATCAAATATACAATTTTATTTGAATTATGTTCATTTACCTACTTCATTTAACCCTATTTACTTGATAGGCTACCACGTGTACACATGGCTTGCCTGTTTTTACATTTGCTGTATGAAATTTCGTATTCTTGAGCTTCACCCATGAAAACTGCATAGGAAATACCCGCTGTTTTTGACGTGTCTGAATATGGAAGAATTAGTTGAAGTTGTACTCTACTAGCTATACAATTGTATGATTCAGCTAGATATTAAGTTTTAGATATTTGAGCCAAATGTCGATATTCATGCATCCGCTATGAAAATTCCAATACAAAATGAATGTTAATTGCACGAAATCCTTGCAAGCGATTACTCCTTTTATCAATTGTTGCGTAAGGCACAACAAATACATATTAATCATAAGGCATACACACGTCTCCTAGACCTGCCTAGATGGTTATATTTCTTAATAAATCTGTATGATCTAAAAGCTTCAACAAAATATTTTCAGCGGCTACTTGAGCTTCGCATAAACGTTAGTCATAAATCATTGAAGGATGTCCCAGCTACAATACCTATTTGTTTGAAGAATTAGTGATACAATGCTTGTTTCGGTTTTATTATAGTTTAAATTCATTGTATAAATAATTTTTAGTGAGATTTGAACAGCCAAATCATCCGACTTCTGGTTTCCAGTAAAAATAACAGAAAACCATTTTCTATCACAACGATCGATTCGACAATCACCATCGTCCAAACATGTTTCCATTTAATCACTGAGCCTAAACTGTTTTTTCGATGATTGATCATTCGACGATTATATTCGTGATATAACCATGCTTCATCTAGCTACAAGTTTTGAGCTTCTGTTCTAATTGCACTCATGCATGCACTGCGCAATGTTGATTGAGGGTCATAGTAAAATCAAATGTTTTACAAATAGTTGCCATGGTAAGGAACATTTTAAAGGCAAATAAAGTGCGCCATTGTTCATGTGTGTCTTTTCTTATGTGAATAAATTATCATATGCCGTCTGAGTAGATCTCCTTTAGAGTTGTTTTGATATTATGATTGATTCAAACGGTATGATTGCACAAGTTAATATAGGAAGATATTTGCTGTTTGCTGTGTAGAAAAACTAACATATCATGTACGAATTTATATGCCTGTGTGTTGAACTTCATGTATCCGCAATGAAAATGCTCGAAATGCAAATTTTACAACACATATATTAATGAAACATCATTGCATTATACATTAAGACACGTAGCCGTAATATTCAATTAGATATTTTGGACAATATTGCAGACAAAGCATTTGCTTTGCTACTGTGCCCCTATCACCAAAAATTTTATTTGCTAAGTTACAAACTAGGTGAAATGTCTGACGTATGGCGGTTGAAAGTTTCTTTTTAATGACCTAGTATGGGTCAGGCCAATTCTGACGTCATCCATAGTAGTTAATATAATTAGGTCATGCAATAACCAAGGTTAATAGCCAAGGAACGGTGGGCAGAATTGGGCACAAAACCCCCCTGCAGTTAGCATGCAGTATTTAATAATAAGATGCAGTGAGGTGCATATCATTAGCAAAATACGTTTGCAGAGTAAACAGCATTATTTTTTTGCCTTTTCCACCGATTAATTGATGTGATCAGGTGCAGACTTGTGCTGGTTTAGTTCGTAAAGAGCAGGTTTAACGATGAATCTGAACTCCAGGCACTCAGCCTGGCTCACCTGCTTCAGAAACCATCCACTCACATGAGTATGACATCATAATGTGACGTCGGATATTAATATATCTTGTATTGAGGAATTCCTTGCATGACATTACAAAAAATATCGTTCCAGACTTTTCGAACGACGGACAAGGTCTATAAAGAGGAGCACATTTAAACAGATATAAATATATAGATCGATTTGCCAAACTTAAAAACTTTTTTCCCTGATGTGTTAAAAATAACACTTGAATTAAATATAGCAAATAACAATTTTTGCGGAAAGTGATACTTTAAACACTTGCCAATATACATTGCATAGAAAGCATTTTGTTCTTCTGGACACTTGAGCATTTAAAATACACTAGTTATATGCATATAATCGTTAGATTTTTTGACTCTCGAATGAAAAAGAAGCAATAATTTTTAAAATACAATTAAGTCCCGTATGGCCATGCACAAGTCATCAAATACTCAAATCAGATAGTCAATTTGAGCACAAAAACAAATAAAACAAGAAAGGCAAAGAAAGTATACTAATTAGACATAAACGTCTGTGATTCCACAAATACTAGATGTATTTTTATATAAGAATCTTGTGCTCTACATTACACGAATCAATCCCTAATGCAAAATATTATTCATATCCTTGTTTCTATAAGATTTAGATATATGTTTTGGACGAGGGATTAATTTTCTATCAAAGTCAGAAATAAACAAATATAAATTTACTTAACTAAAATTCTAATACAACGCCACATGCCAAACCTTGTCATCAGTACAATTGCACTGTTACAAAGCTTTCGTGTCATAGACATAGTGTTTAGCCTCTAAAAACAATTCCAGAATAATTTAAACTTTACACTATCTTTGAACCCTCAGTATTCAATTTCGTCATTGAAGCCGAAATTTAATTCGACAAAATTCTAAGGGAAATACTTCTTTATCAGCCAATAAACTGTTGATATGACTGTCAAGAATTGTGGTTGTTAAATGTAGTTGATAAACCGTTGGAATTTTACTGTTACTTTAGATGGGGTCGCTCTACAGCTAGGGTGTACAAAAATAAACAAACTGAACAATTTGGAAAACGTCATTAAAGTCATCTGTGCGCAACATTTGCAAAAAGCCGAAAAACATTTCTGGAACAAACAGGAGGTTAGACTTCTAACAGCTTATGTGACGGAAATGACACTGCCAAAAAGCAATCTGAGCACATACACTAGAAATATGACAGATGCTTTTCAAGCTAACAAAATTTTGGAAAATTTCGCTTAAGCGTACACAAACGCTTAGCCTTAAAATGCGAATTATGCTAAATTTTTCATGTTTAAGTGCCATCTTGTTATAATTCTCATCAATTATGCGTGAATGTTAGCTTAAATTAATCCAAACACGAAAAATTGATGAAATTATTAAAAAAGGACGTTAAAAAGAAAAACGCAAAATAATTCGTAATTTGGAAGCCTAGCGTTCGTGCACGTTATGGCCAAATTTCCCGAAAGTTTGTAAGCCTAAACAACATGTGCCAAATTTTAACAGTACATGTTCCACGTGCTTTCTAGCTTTGTCATTTTCGTGTGCAAGTGCTTCTCGGCAACACAATTCTCACTCTAAAAATGGTTACTATTTGCATTTAATATAAGATTATTCATTGGAAGTCTTACTACTTTTTCCATCAAAGAGTTTTACATATGTTGCAAGCTGACAACTTTAGCGAATTTTTCTATCTGTTTGGTTTTTTATGCACCTGCAGGTCTCTAGTTAGCAAAGAATCAGTCATTTATACATATGGGCAATGGAAATGCTTCAGCATTTATTAATCAACTTTGTCACAAGCTATTGCATTGATTGATAAACTGACACAATAGCACTTTTAAAGTTGATAAGTTGACTTTAACTGAGACAGATTTTTAATAACGTTTCTTGAATCCTAGCATACGCAGGAGTTGAACCAATCCATTTTCATGTTAATTTCATTTGCATGGTAAAAGTTGCCTTAAAATTTGTTTCGCATGAAAATGGATTCGTGATTAAGCAACTATTCTTATGCTTAGGTTGTAACATTCAAAAACGTTGCCTTAGATCATTTTTTGGTTGATTGCACAAAATATGTGTCGAACATCGTCCGGATTGGAAGAACCTCACGAGAGGAGCTTAACAACATTCAACTCAGCAAAGTAATGTGATAAATACGTACTTTTCCAAAGATTTTCTTCATCAGTTTAATTTAATTTGATTATTTAGGTCATTCATGAAACGGGAATTGAGAAAAAACATCGCGCAAGCTACATGAAAGCTTGTACAGAAATGCGAATTGCAAAGAGAAACCTTAAGAAGCTCTTTAGATACTTGTCAAAACCGCATTTTACCGTTAAATCATTCCTTGAGGTATTAACAAATCAGTCTATTTAAACATGAAACAATTGTTCAATCCTTTGCTAATTTTAAGAAAATCGATCCAGGAATTGCAAAAAGTGGACAATTGTCCGGCATACGTATTTTGATCCAAGCTAAAAATTTTAAACCGAATTTTACAGTAATGCAGAGAAATATTATTATTTTCAAAGTACAAAAAGAAACGACATCTTTATTCCTTTTTATGTAACGTTATTAGGCTGCTAGCAAAGAACATATTAGCTCTCTTTTGAGCATGTCACCTGATTCAGAACAGAACGAAGAAAAGACTTTAGAAGGTTAGAAAGCAGATATATTAACTTGCTTATGTTAAGCTCTGTTGCATCAAATGCAAACGTATCGGTGCTTGTCTTTGCATATGATAACTAAGAAAAGGCCTATTTAAAAAGACACAGTTTTAAATTTTAGTTTTTGTTTATAGCTTCTTCTCTCCCTCATAAATCATAATCACCATTTGTATGGTTGAATCTTACGTCATCACATTTGATGTATATTTCGTATCAGTTACATATAATTATAGATGATTTTATTTTTCTACAAACACATTTCAACCTAAATAGAAGACGGTCAACTTTGCATCATTCCAATACTCAGTCAAACATCAATCAGTATAATTTTAAAATTATTTTGTTCAACTCATCCCATGCAAAGCATTCAGTAATTAGGTCTTATTCAGAACTCACGCCAGTTAAATATTTTGTTTATATGCAAAGATAGATTCAAATATTATGATAATTTTGTCATTAAATGATTTGTTGTTGCCTGTTTTTCGTAGAGAAATTAAAAACATGTGTGAAGACATGGCTGGAAGAGGCAAAAAGTCAAGTTGAAAGCTCCTTAACGAAAAAAAGAGTTGAAAAATTTCGCTGCAAGACAGAAAGCAGGTAATAACGTATACATTTTTGCAGCAACGTTTTCAGACTGACCTATCTCTTGGTTTAGAGAAAACAATCTTTGCTTTTCATATTTTTCCTTCTTCGTTTGTATCTCTCGATGGCCAACTAGGAACGAGGAAGAAGTTTTGCGTGGTGAAGCATTTGACTCAAATGTTACGTCTAAAGAAAGGCAACAGGATACTGTGGAAGACGAGGTGCCTTTGGACGACGTAAGTGCGTCATACGATGAAATTCAAGAGGGTGTTAACAATGAAGAACCGTTAACTGATGGTATCGAAATTTCATCAGCTGAGCCAGGTAGGCCGGGTTGAGTTAACTTTTAAGTGAAGAACGATCTAGATTGTCTTTAAAAAACTATTTCATAAATGATACAGAGGCATATTAAAAAGATTTTTATAACATGGACATGTAAACGGAATCCACATTTATTTAAATGCACGTGCTCATTTAAAAATTTTTTTGAATCGCACACATTTTCACACAATTCTATCGTATACTCTATTGTATTGTCTGTATTGAAAATTTTTTTGGTTGATTTTTCATGATACTCTTACTGTAATCATGCATGAAAAGTCCATGCTTTTTTACACTTATAGGATATGGTTTATAATGATTGAAATTTGGGAGTATCGTCTAGAGCTTTAACTTAAAGTTTTCGACTCACTTACAGCGCTGTTTATCTCAAAGTGCTCTAAGTTGTAAGGAAAGCTGTTAACACAGAATAGACATCTAACAGAGAAAGCTCACTCAGCTAAGATTGTGGCGTATTTTTCCACTACGCATGCGTGACTTCCCAGCAAGATACTATCACAAAATAAATCATTTATGGAATAGTAATGCACGAGAATGTTATTTTACTAATAACTCAAGTGTAAAGCAAAAGTTTGCCGAAATTTTTACAAAGAGTTATCATCTAACGAATAAGATAAGGTACCAAGATTTTGTAGTGCAAAACGATGTATTTGTAAAAACAACATCTATATTTTGTATTGCAATCTTGCAGAAGTATCTTCCTGGAAGGCGTGTCTCCTTAAAATTTTCTGTAGAAAAGTGAGGGACACGAACATCAAAGGTTCCTACATCAGAGGACCTTCTGTTAAGACAATCTATTCTGTGCTGTTAGTGCAATTGCCTGTTTTAAAACGGTGGTGACTTAGCGTCAGTACCAGATATTTTAATGTGATTGGTTGGTTTTAGGTCCGAAATAGCTGTAAAATGATCTGCAACAGTGCACAGTTCTGTATCAAAAGTGAAACCTGTCAGTAATGCAATTATATAGCTATATGTAACAAAAACCTGTATTAACCAAATAAATTTCGGTATTACAGCAGCATAAAAAATTAGACACAAACAAAAAAGGAGCGTCAATTGTATATTTTTTTTGATTTTGCGCAGAATATATGAAAATATACTCGGGCTTACCAAATAATGCGTAAAAACAAGGGCTGCGGCTCACTTAGATTAGATGAGTTAGGTGTCTGAAACAAACTTACTGAGAAATAAACCGTTGCTTTTCCCTGGGGTGACCAAACATGTTTGGTTTCGGCGGTGTGGTTAAAATGAAGAGAAAATAAACCACCACAAAGGAATAGTTTGGGCAGAACTTTTGTCCTCTACATCGTTAAAAATCACAAAAGCACAAAAGAAGCTTGAAAAGATAAGAATAAGCAAGCAAAATTATTGTTTTTAAGGCCTATCCTCCGAATATGTACTACTTAGCATTTGTCGTGAAAACTAAAATCAATCATTGTGCCAACTTAACTCTTCGTTTCCCCCTGATTAACATATCCCCTATTTAAAATTTAACTTACAAATTAACCGGCTGAAGCAATAAGATTATTATTCGCTTATGCAAATAACTCCTTTGTGAAGCGAATTTGCGTCAAAGGCATCTCTCTTTAGATAAATAATAATTTATTGTATAATTCATTGGTAGAAATATATTTAAACTAAATCATGATCATTTCAAGTATGAAAAACATTTTATGACAGACTAACCATGTTTTGACTATTGTTGACTTTACAGATGAAAATTCTAGTCTTCTTGATGAAGATGATCTTTGGTCATTAACTTCGACACAACGTGTTAATTTCCTTCGTGCTTTACGTGGAAAACTTATTGCAAAATTTAGGGAAGCTGTTGAATCGTTTGAAAAGGTAAGATATTCATTACCAGGAGCGTAAGAACCGGGGGGAAAGGGGGAAAGTCCTCCCTGCTGTATGTTGCAAAAACTGTCCTTACTTGGCGTTGTCTTTAAGATAATGAAAACTAGGCTTTTTCACTGTTAGACATGAAAGGTTTCATTTCTTCCCAACTTTTTTATTAGTTGCACATATACTTGCTGACTCTATACAGCTACTTTTTCTGCATGTCGAAAGATCCTATTCCTTGCATAGCTAGGTTTGTCAAAAGTTATTTAATATTTATTAATCTTTACTACAGAAAAGTATTACAATAAACTATTGCTCAATATGAACAAACATATCAGAGTTCCAATTTGCAATTAGACAATCGCAAAAGACTTTGCTAAAAAAAGAACGCAGAATTAAGTCTTTTTTCAAAATTCTAAAGAAAAAAATGCCTGTTGTCTCGCGCACACGTGGTTATAATCAATGCAGAGATTTGTAGCTAGCTATTTTCTATCTTTTTTTTGAAAATTAGTCGAAAAGTTACAATTTCTACTCGTATGTGCTTTTTTCCAACAAAGTTGTACATCTTTTGTAAGATGTTTTGTATCTATGTTCGTTGTTTTTTTGTACTTTTTTTCGTGAAGTCAGTTGCATACTAAAAATTGTCCTTTTGTCATAGCTACAGGTCTGTTAAATTCTGCGCATGTGGGTCAACAGTCAGCAAGTCTAAATTATTGGCTAGGTTATTTGTCAGTAGCAGACCATCATTCAAGGGTTCTTTTTAACATTCGATGTTTATTTTTTCAGAATAAACGTTTTCGTCAAGATTTTCTTGATGAACGCACAGTTTGCGTTCTAAAAAGTTACGATGTTATTGCCATGACAGTTACTGGAGCTGCAACTCGTTCACATTTGTTGGGTAAGTGTATATTACGTTACGTGTGATGCAGGGTTAGTCAAGATAAAGTATAGCAGCTAGACTCAAAATACTTTTATAGCAATATTGTTGATTACGAGTTTCAATATAATAAAATTACACTAATCAAATTGCTTTTTAGGTATTTTCAAATGTAAATATATACAATATTGATCTTTTGTAATTAATTCTTGCTCATTCTTGATCTGCCACTGTGCCGGCAGGTTATGACGAATGTGAAATTGTATCACGCAAGATAATCGTACGCATGCGTAATGTGACAAATCTTCTTCTAATCACTGCAGAAGTCAATGAAGAAGTAAAATTCAATAACTTCAAAATAGCAAAAAGATTATTTAGGAGTAAGGGTGTTTGAGTTCTTGGCATCCTAAAGTTGCCAGTTGAATTGTTGTAATGTTAAAGTCGCGCGTTATTTATGTGAATATGACCACGTTGCTGTTCAGAGTTGCTGTTCTGGTTTCTTACACATTCAGAAGTGAACATTATCAAATAAACAATACATTTATAATCAATGCAATGCCATGCAATACATAATTTATTTTACTGTTTTGCAGTTAAATTGCTCATAAACTCATTTGTTCTCATGGTTTTTTCAGCAATAACCCATGGATTATTTTCTGTTCTATAGAGAAATTAAAGCCTTGTGCTGTGATTGTTGAGGAAGCTGCAGCAATAATGGAAGGTCAATTGGTATCAATTCTTCCTAAATCTTTAAAGCATCTGGTTATGATAGGAGACCATTATCAGCTAAAACCAAGAGTTAACTGCTACAAACTGCTAAAAAAGAATCTTGATTGCTCCATGTTCGAGCGATTGATTAACAATAAATTTCCATTTGTCCAGTTAAAACAACAATGTCGAATGCGTGATGATATAGCCGATCTTCTTCGTGAGATAAAATCTACGACAACTTAGAAACAAAAAAGAGGTAAAACTATGTTGTTGGATTGTTAAAAAGTTTGTAGAGATATATTGAGATATATCATGAGAACTGCATGAATTGAGATGTATTGAGAACTGTATACATTGTGTTAAATACAGTTCTTTGCCAGCAAAAGTGGTTTCTTCTATGTACAGTGGAAAGTATCTCAAACTATTTTAAAACTTTTAATTTACCAACGCTTTTCTGGCTGAAAACGAATTTTTTTACCAACTGATTTTTTCCCGTATATGAAAGAGATTTGGATAGGAAGAAGATATACTGTAGCGCAAACGTGAGTTCAAGCTTTCTTTTTCTTGTTTGGCTTTTTGTCAATTGAGTTTTATTGCGTTTCACGATTGTTGCTGTGCTTAACTGACATCATTTCGACTGATTTCTGATCTTAACTATGTGAGCAAATAAGAGATTCTGCAAAGAAACTAAAACCATGATTCACTTTGTAATTTCTGGAATCTTTAAAAGCTGTTTAAATACATATATGATAAAGCTGGTTGAGTTTAATTTTAGGTATTCTTTTAATCTTTTGAATAAAATTTAGAAAATTAAAGACAACGAGCCGCCTCCGTGCATTGGAGAAAGCCTGTTCTTTCTTAAGCACACAAATAAAGAAACTTACCCCTCTGGATCAAGAAGTCCTTTTAATGATTACGAAATAAACAGGATTCTTGAAGTATCTCAATACTTGATGAGAAATGGCTATAGTCCTGCTGATATTACAGTCATCTGCCCTTACAATGCACAGGTATGTAGTTCTACTTAGAAGATGAAAATTGACGTAACTCACGAATTGATTTTCTGGCAAAGATTGATGTGTTTGTGAACAATGCTTTTAAGACAGAATTAAACATTAACTAGAATACTCCTCCTAAAGAATGACGCAAAGTGTAGTGCAAATGTAGCCATGCATGGGGTAATATCATACTTTTAAAGCAAATTTTGATGGCCAATTGCTTGTGAAATATAATTCTGATCTTTTGGGAAAGTAAGTGGTGACGGTGACCAAAATAGATTTTCAATTTGCTCTGCGTTACGACAAAAGATTATATAAAAGATTACAGCAATAATACTGATTGCGCCAATAAGTGTCGTAGCTGGTCTACAACAAGTCGATTGGCTATCTTTCACCATAAATTCATTCTTTCAGGTGATTTTGAATTTTTTCTGCTCATAATGTTTTAGAGAAGGGTTTACTTTACATTGCCGTCACAATATTAGCACAAAATGTTGTCAGCTGAATTTGACAACGCCCATTCTCGTAAAAATTAGTCTCAAGGAAACAAACAACTCTTGCATACAATAGCATAAAATCAGTCAAGGATATTTTTTTTGTAAGTCCTGCTTTAAAATTATATTTTGAGTTTGTTACGTCATTATTTTGTTTCATAGCCTCCATTCAAGTAGTCCATGTAATCCCTCCTTGCAGGCATAGTTAGCTACATAAGAATGACTAAAGTCGCCTTTAAAAGTACCATTCTTACGAATTTGAAAGACTGAAAAGAGCTGTATTTACACGTTAGTATAATAGTTTTTATAAAATAATATGATAAGTTAATCGTGCAAAGCATGTTATGCAAGACTTCTAGCGAAGCATCTGGAAGCAATAAAACAGTTTTAAGCCAAATATAAATTAAGTAGAAATTAATTTGGAGAAGTTTAACGAAGCAGGCTGTTCCATTGTGCATAGAAAAATAAAAGTAGGTTGTATTTGGTAATTAATTCATGTTGACTATTGAGAGTTTAGTTTTGATAAATACTCTAAAATTTTTAAACATCGACGTTTTAAGTCTTCATACTGTACATGCAGCAGTTGAATTTGGCCAAATATCACCTCATTTCTTTTATAATCTTTATGATTAAAACTACGTTACGTTATATTCCAGGTAAATAGAATGAAAGGAAAATTTCTTCTTGAAGCAAATAAACCTTCTGAACAGTATTTTACAAAGCTTAAAGAAATCAAGATAACAACTATTGATAGTTTTCAGGTGAAATAAATTTTCCATAGTTTACGAACTATCATTACAAGACTCAATTTATTCTTTTCAAACGTATACAGGGGGAAGAAAACAAAGTGATTTTGCTGTCGCTAGTACGCAGTAATGAGAACCAGAAGATTGGTTTCTTGAGTAGTGGTAACAGAATATGTGTCGCAATTTCAAGGGCAAAATGTGCATTGTACATTTTTGGAAATCCAAGTGTTTACACGTTGTCTGAGAAATGGGCTGTAAGTTTCACCACTTTTTCTTATTATTTGTCTGAATGTGAATGAAAATGCTGGACGAAATATCACCAATTGAATAAGTGAGTTTTCTTTTTTTTATGTAATTCATACATTGAGTTTAGGAGATGTCTTTGTTTGTCACAGTATGTTTTATTCTGTATTTTTGAAATTGTCTACTAAGAAAATAATTTAATTTTGCTTTGTCAATTCTTTAAAATTATTTATGCTGACTCATTTCTTTAAAAACACATTGTTTATGCTGTGAGTGAGTTTACAAAAATTTATATAGTAGGACTTAATGAACGGGCCATATAGTTACTCCACCAAAATAAAAGGAAAGTGTCAAGCATTTCATATTTTACTGCTGCAGAAAAGATTTTACATGTACATTAAAAGGTAAACTTTTTTATTGTAGAAAATCATCAGATTGTTTGAAAACAGAAAACTAATTAGCTTCAAGTTCCCGTTTAAAAATGAACTCGAGCAGGTATAAATAACCGAATTACTTTTCTTTTTGGTTTATGGTGTGTTTTCCATCAACGTTGAAGGCATCGAAGACCGTTTGATGAACCATGGATTACAAAAATTGGCTTTTCTTCAAATTTCTATCAAAGCAATGCGTCCAGGAATCGCCAAGCAGGAATCTGCCATTTGATTTGGCATCAAATATATTTTGAAAGTTGCACGTTTAGTCAGCCTGCACGTCTGGGTAGTGCTTGTACATTTTAGATCACCAGCATTATTGCTTTCTTTAGTACTATTATTTTAACAGTGAGTTAACACCAAATATTTACACAGCACTGAAAAAATTTGCGGGCTGGTTGCGCAACTGTTTACACTGTAACGATTGAAAAGAAAAATGTGATAACATGCTACATTAAGTTTGATCCGTAATACCTTTTATGTTTAGTTTGAAATACTCAAGATTAACGAGACTTTTTTTGTTCTCTGACAAAACTTGCTTCGTAGGAATTTTTTAAACACACTTTTAATTTATTTTTCTGTTTTAGGTAACCGACAGGGACCCTTTATGTAAGTGGCTAATTCAAAAAATTTCTCATATATTGAAATAGATTGAATAGGTTCTTAGCTAACGGCCTATAATGATCATTATTATAATGAAGGTATCAGCAGCAATGTTAGCGCCTTTTTTATTTCCAGTTAGAGTACAAATATTTTTGTCTTTCACTGGATGCATCGATAACACTTAAAATGCCTATGAAATGGAAATTTTGCAAATTAAATAATGTTTGAAATGACTAAACTTTTGAAATGACCGTGTACTTTCTAATACTGTAAATGCTTATCTCTTTTTTACTCTCGTGATTTTGACGTTTTTGTCATTTCCAGTTTATACAACTTGTGACGTCATTACATGTTTGTAGATGTAGATCGTCCAAGTTACTAGAGTTCTGAGAAGAACTGTTTTTGTTGTTGTTGACTGAGTCAAATTTGACTGTTAAGATGACTACCGCTGTCTGTTGTCGAAACGTCAGTTAACAACAACAGTCCTTCTCAGAACTCTACTAACCTGCTCGATCTATATCTACAAGCATGTAACGATACTCCCGGGATCAAACCATTTACTTTGTGACGTCATGTTGCATAATGAGTTCCCACAATATTTCAAATACTCTTCAGTTTCCTGACAACTTTAGGTTGACACTAGTACGCAGCATTTTCTACCATTAACCATGTCACAAAGAAGGGAACTCGTAAATTAAAGTATCGGTAAATATACCTAATAATTATAGTTCTCATTATGCAATGTGACGTCACAAGTTAGATATATCGGACAAAGCAAGAACCACAATATCTCAAGAATTAAGAGTGATATGCATTAACTGGTTTAGAATGTCCGTTGTCATTTTGAAATATCTCTTGAATAAGGCATTTTAAAAGAAATTAAGAAGTCCAAGTAAAAAAGCTGCTCGAACGCTAGGTCTGATAAACGAAAAACAAGACTTTGGACGGAAAAAACTTACAGAGCACCTTAATGAAGCCAATGTTGAGATACATGAAGAAGTATTACTAGGGACTTGGTGGCATTCTCCGACATCATGAAGCAAGTTACATGTATGTGCATTCTCATTAACTAAAGAAAATGTCTTTTTCCAATTTTAGTTGTAGAAGCCTTTTAAATGTCCAATTTCCAATGCCATTACAAATTCAAGTTTTCAAATTTTAAATTTTAATGCAATATTGCGAAGATCGTATTTTACAAAAATTACGACTGCCAAATAGTGTTATAGTTAAAAACTCATTCTATACTGATGATGACATGTAAGTCTTGTCGAAAAGGTTAATATAAATATTCATTTCTTATGGAGTGTCAGTGGTTTTTGTTTTTAATACAAACGTTTTTCCACTTCTTTATAGGTATACTGAACTATAGGGGATAAAAATCATCACAAGTAGGCGTATAAAAAAAAGCAAAAAAATCGGCAATTTGTAGGTCCCCTCCAGCTTTAATCACAGTTTCAAATCTGCGGTACATGATGGAATTGAATGATTTAGTGTTCTTCTGTCACGAACAACCTCATAAGCAGCCTTTATAACGCAGACACAGTTTTTTATCATTGGTACATGATGTTATGCTTGGGCCGTTAAATTCAGAGTCATTCTCTGAGATATATGAACTCTTCCCTCACTTGCTTAAGAAGAATTGGGCTTTGTCGTTAAAATTGCCGTGTCCCACTAGATAGCTGTCCAACCTGTCCTACCTGAGAAAACTGTAGGCTGGTATTTTTATGTTTAGCAGTAAGATTTGTTTTCACATGGGTTTGCAGCGATCAAGACTTGTCTCTCCAAGAGTTTTTTTTTTCGAGTAAAAGAGATGAGTTAATGCCGTGTTAAATCTGCATCTTGGCTATTATCTGTGGACTCGTCTTAAAGTAATTTGACACGAATGCTAATTCTTACAGTTATGTGGTACTGCCTCTGAGATATCATCCAGTACCGTCCTATGATCTTTGCATTATCACACTCTCAGTCCTCTTTTTTACGGCATTCACGCTACCGTGGCGAACAGATGTCTCGTTGGCTGCGACTTTCTTCATATAATGTCAACACGTTTCCACAGCTGTCCAAACGCAACAATCAATTTCCCCCGTCTTCCATTTCTTTCATCAACCAAATAATGACTTCACCGACGATTTAGTTTATTTCATATGTACCATAAAAGATATTAAAACGGTCAACAATCTCTACAAAGATTGCGGTACATTCTACTTGAGTAAAGTATAATATTTGAGAAAATCATATTCTTGGATAAAAAAATGTGCATATGTTGTAAAATTGACGTAAAATAACAACACTAACAGTCTTACTCGGCACTGCATTAAGCTGGACGCTCTACATGTACAAACATGCAACAAATTTTTGGAAACACTACTACTCCTGAAAAAACTTCGAGTAAAAGATCGAAAAGTCCATGTAATTCTTCAACTTGGCCAGAATTTCTTCAGGTGTCCAGTCTTCGTCTGGATCAAGCAGTTTTTTTGACCAAGATTCCGAGACGAACCTCATCCCTAACTGATAGAAAAAGACAACATTAACGCTGTTTTATTAGTAATAATTAAACCCCCTTTTTGATCTAATGTTTGTTTTTCATATGCTTAATCATGCATAATGCATGCTCAACCTTAATTATAAGTCAGTCTAACAGGTGTTTTTACTAAACGTGCACTTCGCGTGTATCTTCCACAATTCCTTCTCTCATCCTCGTCAGTTTCTTTAACAACAACTCCTCCATAACATTGAACATCCTTTGTGCTGGAAGATTGTAGTATTTTAACCCTTCTAGAGAAATGTTCTTCTAATCAAGCTTCCTCATGAAAATTCATATTCTCGATTTTAGATTCAAATGGTTTGTCCACTCTCAACAAGTGTTTTCTATGTCCTCTATGTATTCCGTCAGATGAGTTAAAAAATATGATCGAGGACTTTTTGTCTTCTCTACAACAAATCCCTTTCTCTGAAATCCTTTTATTCCTTGAATCCTGAAGGCATCGCCTTCATTTAAGACTGAGAAACCTCGAGTTCGTGAATTAAATTTTTCCTTTTGAAGATTCTTGTAATAATGAAGTCGATCAGAAGCAACTTCAGGATCTTCACTTCGGGTTTCCGTCGTTCTTCCGCTATATGAAGAAGTGTCTTGGTTTGCTTTGACATTAATCGCAACGCCGGACTTATAAATACCGTATCTCTTGGTGTATTACGATGGTTGAGTAATAAAACATGTGGATCAACATTATCGTCCATAGCTTTCTTCATTAACAACTTTGCTTTTTGAACTGCTCTTTCGACGCCACCGTTGCTTTGTGGATAGTTGGGCGAACTCGTAATATGTTAGAAGTGCCATACAGTTTGAAAAGCTTTAAACTTTTGTAAATTGAGTACCATCTTCACTGACAAGTACATCTGAATTTCCATATTGTGCCATTTATGCCTTTTACTTAGTAATAACAATTATTGATAATAAGTTGTACAAAAGATCAAATTCAAACCAACCTGAGTAGAAATCAACAGTAATCATATAATTCTTTCCATGAAGCATGAAAATATCCACTCCATTGCGTTGCCATGGTCTCAGCGGAGTTGAATGAGGCTTCAACGGTTCTGACGGTTGTTGAGGCTTGTTATGATTGCATATACAGAACATTTTCACTAGCTGCTCGATTTCACGATCCATTTCTGGCCAAAAAAGCTTCTCGTGCTCGTCATTTACTAGCTTCAATTCTAAGATGAGGTTGATGAACGATCTTAAGTATCTCTTTACGCAGTACAACTGGAATTACTATTTCGTTTCTCTTGAAGATAAGATCATCATAGATACTAAGTTCTTCTCTACAATCTCAGTAACTATGGATGGAAGGGGATAAAGGCGACTTTTGTTGGTGACACGAACTCATGATTCAATTGTGGTAAGCTTGGATCTTTTCTTGTTTCTTCTTGTGACTCATCCAATTTTCCTGCAGAAACAGGCAGAAGTACGTTTATCTCTAACTCTTCTTCGAGGGTATCGTTTAGATTTATTTCTTGGCAAGCTCTGTTTAAGGTATCAGCTACGTACAACTCATTTCCTTTCCTGTAGGTAACTTGTAAACCATAATGTTGCAGCCGAAGTAATATTTGTTGTAATCTCATTGGACATTCAAGTGAACTCTTGAATGTGCTTTTCAAAGGTATATGGTCTGTCTGAATCTTAAATAAATTGATGGAACTTTTCACATGCAAATATTATGGCCAGTAGTTTCTTTTTTATTTGAGCGTAACGTTGTTGTGTTTCAGATAAAGCTTGTGATGCATACACTACTGGATGACCATCTTGTTCCAAAACTACTCCAAATCCAGATATACTACTGTGACAGGAAATCTTTACTCGTTTTGTAACATCATAATATTGTAACGTCGGCTGTTTAGCACAATTGTCTTTCAAATGTTGATAAGATCTCCGATATTCATTTTTCAACTGCCGCGCAGTAGTCCTTTTTAGCAAAGATCGTAGTGGTGCTGCTTTTCAGACTGATTTGGAATAAACTTTGCGAGTTATTGTATCATACCAATAAATTGTTGAAGATTTTGCTACGAAGTCGGTTCAAGGCACCTTCAATGGCTTGCACTTTTTCATTGCTTGGTTAATGCCATAGGCTTGTGACGTAAGCTTGTGCCCGATAAACGAAACTTACAAAACTCGCATCTTGCACTTCTTCTGATTTAACCTTAACCTAACTTCTCGTGCTCGATCTAAAATTCTGCTAAGAAGTTCCTCATGTTCTTTATCCTCTCCTTCCCAGATCATTAAATCATCCACAACAGCTCCACAATCTACGATACTTCCAAACATCTCTTGCATAACTCTTTGATAAACTTCAGGCGCTGATTTTATTCCAAATGGCAGGCGCTTAAACCAATATTGTCCAAATGGAGTTTTGAAACAGGTCAGAAATAATTACACTTTTTCAAGTGGAATTGCCAAAATCCATTTGTTGCGTGAAGAGTTAAGAAATTCTTAGCCCCAGGTATTCTGGTCAGAACATCATCAACGGTTTTCATTGGATGTTCTCTTCATTGGATATTGTATTCTCTCTTCACTGCTTTGTTTAAATCTTACTGGTCAACGCACAAGCGAATCTTACTTGGTTTAACGACTTTAACCAATGAAGAAACCCATGCTTTTGGTTCAGTTATTAGCGTTACGACTCCCAGTTTCTCCATGCGATTCAACTCTTCCAGAATTCTTGGTCTAAGAGTTTTAATTTTCAGTTTTGTTGCAAATTTCAAATGTTATATTCCACTCTTCATTTGTACTTAATTTATCTGAACAGAGACTGACTAATCTTACCAAAAAAGTTTTCATTTTAGTCCGATTCAAAGACGGTGGCAAAAAATCAATCCAAACAATGCTAACTCATTTCACTTTAAACAACATACATCCAAAATTAAAAATTCAAAGTTGTCTGATAATTTCCTTTGTTAACAAATCAAAACAACTCACAAGTAAAATTCTAACTACTGTCAGATATCACAAAATTCCTTTCGCTGGTACAGCCTATCATATCGACAAAGGTTAGGATTCGCCCAGCTGCTGCATGATTTGTAAGAAAATATGGCCCTGTATATTCAAATATACAAGCTTCGTAGCAATATTTAGGAATGACTCGATGTAGACTCATTTCCATCAGATTTATTTGAGCGACAAAATTTGATAACTTACCTGGTTTTGAGGTATTTTAATCAAGCCATTTGAATCCCACCCTTTTTCATGCAAAACAATAATTTTGTACACTTCGCCATCCATTTCTGCATTATAGAATTTCTCTTTCGCTTCACGATAGAATAAGCAGTCGAAACCATCGGGTATTTTCATTTCATTTTCATCGGGCAAAATCATTTGAGCATCACTATTGTGCTCATCAAACTTGCAGTTTGATAAGTAGTCACACAAAATTTCAGCTTCATTCTTGGCTTCATCGCCCGCTAAAAATCTTGGGCCTATTGAACGACAAATACAATAAGAAAATATGAGCATATTTAGCACAATATTATGAAAAATGAAAGGTGTTGTAAAGGTATCATGTAAGAAGAAAACTAGGCTGTGACATTTCCATCACAAAACGCGACAATATCTGAGATCATCATTTTTGTGTATTTATAATTCATTGTCACATGGGTCATAAAATATGTTTGACGCAAAACGTCGGCTACATTTGTTTTATCATCTAACTTGGAATAGAAAAACAAAATCATGAAGAAGATTTGCAACAACTACTCGAATACTATTAAAATAATACACCTTTAACTTTGATTATTATTCACTGTGTAAACAATGCCGATTATGATTGGTTATCTACATGCAAATGATTCTCGATATCTGCATGTAATTTTGACGTCATATTTCGTCATATTTCTAAATAAATCTCGATATCTGTATGTCATTAAATTAACAAAAAATCGCATAAAACCAAATATATTCCATGTATTATTGAGCAAAAATGGCATAATAAATGCATATTTGTTTACAGTGCACAAAAATTGTTTGAATGATATGTACTGTGTTGAAAAATAATGACACAATCACAACTTCATTGGCAAAAATGCCTAAATGACGTCATTTTATTTTCTGCTTAACTTTTTTTTAAAGTTCATTCATTAATCTCAGAAATTGAACTATTTGTAAACAAATAATGTTATAAATAAATATTTAAAAAAGATATATTATTTATTAACCAACATGTTTCCCTATTCGTAACCACAAATCATGCCTTCTTAAGCTTGCAAGTCTATCATGAAAAAATCAATTAAGTTTATCTCTCAACAGTCTGAAGGTGAACTTTCAGGTCAGCAAAGGATAGTGGTATGTTACTTACTAATCCTTTGTGTACCGTTTTTCTGACGTCCACCTTCTATAATAGCGCGTATTGGAATCTATTTATCGTATAAGTCTTTTCTCGTAAAAGTTCGAAACTTCCATGAGTCTTTGTTTATTTGGAAAAAATAAGCAATTGTCCTCGTTTTCAATTTAACCGTAACTGTTCATCAAAATCGTTTTGTCTTGTACCATGCTTCGCCTTCGAATTGGTGATCCAAATGTTTGATGTCGGCACTGTTTTCCGACTTCACCGTACTTTTTGTATGTTGCTTCTTTTGTCTTTTTTTCACGCTTTTTTTTTTGCTTTCGCTGTCGACATCTTCACTAGCATGTTCCCATATAACCTCAATTGTTGCATTTTCCCGTCTCTTTGTGCTCGACGTTGGAGGTGACTTTCAGTGAACAAAAAGGGTACAACGCTGCTTTGTTTGTTGCACCATTGCTAGCCGAATTTGTTAAAGGTGTCAACAATGTTGATCTTGGTGCAACAATGTACGCCTTATTATTCCTATTTAGCTAAGCCTACAAAGTTGACTTAAATTTCTTATGTAACAGACAGAGCTCTGGTGTGAATGTATGTTTCTCTCCGTCTTCTTCCAAAAAGTGCTGCTCGAATAACCTCGCTCACATTTACTTTAGTTTCATCAATGATAATCTCGTTCTAGCCAAGAACGTCCAGCAGCTGGACAGAGTTTGGTAAATTCAAAAGCTTTTTTAACACTTCAATTTTTCCCACTTTAAACAAATACTAAATTTTTAGCTACTAACTCTTTTACAATGTCTTATTTTTTCAATTTTATGGTTTTTGCTTAAAACCACAATTTTTCCACTGTTCTGTAATTACTGCCCATGTCAACTGACAAATGAAAATGACTCAATAAATGTTTAATACATAACGTTCAGCAAAAAGTTAGATTGTTTTTAAAGTGATATCAATTCTTTCCTCGTTTTCTCAAAAATCTAAAACAGACTTTGGGATAAAAGTCTGAAATATGACTACAACAATGTGCAAATATTGATGCAATTAGTATGAATGAAAAATTGTGATTTGCTCTTCCAGCCTTACATAGATTGACATGTTGTAACACGACAGGGTATTCGTTTTAAATGGGCAAAGTTTTTGACATCATCTGGACATCTGCTACACTTTCTTGGTCAGAATGAGATTGTCAATGATGAAACTGAAAAAAATGTGAGCGAGTTTATTTAAACAATCCTTTATGCAAGAAGGAGGACAGAAAAATATATTGAAACCAGAGCTCTGGAGTAAAAAGGAGCAAAAAATAAGTCAACAATGTGTCTTCTGCCCAATCTACATTCAACTTAACAAGAAATAAAGCAAGTACACTATAAAACAAACATTTGGCTACGTTGCATCGAGCCGATGACACCTTTAACAACTACGGCAAGCAATGGTCTAAAAAATAAAGCAACGCAGTACCCTTGCGGTTGACTTGAGATCAGCTACCTCCAACGTTGCGCACCAAAATAAACGAAAGGCATAGGAAGTTTCAAATTATTTAAAGAGCTAAGACTAGGGCGATGATTGGATGCCTTGAGTTCCATGTGAACTATGTAAGAAAGTGAACACCAGTGCGTGAAACCCAGTACACAAAAGATCAATAGCATACCTCCTTCCTTTTGTTAGCCTGAAAGTACACCATCAGACTGTTAAGAGATAAACAAAGTAGCTTATTTGATTTTTCCACGATAGACTTGCAAATGTAGATCGTCCAGGTTGGTATGGTCCAGGTTGGTATAGGTTGGTATAGTTACACATTTCCTGTACACACAATACAATGAAGTAAGAACCAGATAACAAATACGGCTAACCTGACGTTTACTCCTCACTTGACTCTGAAGATGACTACCGCTAAGGTTGTCATCTTCGTCAGTCGACAACAAAAACGTCAGTCAACAACAAAAACGTCAGTCAACAACAAAAACAGTCCTTCTCCGGACTATACCAACCTGGACAATCTACATCTACAAACATGTAACGATACTCCAGGGTTCAAACTTTAGACTTGCAAGTATGAGAATAATTTGTGGTTACGGATATAGAACTACGTAATAGTGTAACATGTTAGTAAATAAATAAAATATCTTTTTAAAATAATTGTTTTGAAAATTATTTGTGTAATGTATTTATTTGTAAAAAAAAGACACAAAAACTTAGGGAAAAAGCAAGTGACGTCATTAGGGCAGATGATTTGCATATGAAGTCATGATGACGTCATCATTTTTCAACACAATATACATCATTCAAATGGTTTTTGTGCAGTATTTACAAATATGTATTTATTACGCCAATTTGGCTCAACAGTCAAGAAATATAATTATTTTATGCAATTTTTTGGTAATTTTAAGACGTCATCAGTCACGTAATCAATAAACATTTACAAAAATGTTGTCAGGCTTTAAATCGAATCTAGAAAATTAAACTTTCGACAAAAGTGTTTAAAAGTTTTGTCGAAAGTTTAATTTTCGACAAAACTTTTGTCGAAAATTAAACAAAACTAATTAAAGAATGACGTCATATCTACAAATAATAGTTTCTACAATTATTTACGTCATTAAAAAACAGTTTTGAAAAAGTCAAACAATGGCAATGTTTGCCACAGTTTCTAAAAACGATATGAAAGCTTTCGAACAAAAGGATGCAGAAAACACTAAAAAGTGGCGAAGCTGGCTTTGAAATATTTACAACAATTAAGAACTTGAATAAACTGAATTCTTGATATCGGCTTTTGCATGATATTAAGAATTATTCAGACCTCGGTCAATGCTGCCTACCTTGGCTTCGCTTCGGAAGATAGCATTAATTTCTGTTTGAAAAATTGCTGATATAATGCTCAACCTCATCAAATAATTATTTATTATCGGTATTCTAGCAACACCTGTATACTTATTGTCCATAATTCACGTACTTCCGAAATGGTTTCCGAAGTAAGATAAAAGCATTAAGAAAACATCGCAAATTTTTTTTTAATATTACATATACATTTTGTCGTCAAAGAACATGACATTCGAAAATATATGGATTCATAATACACTTTCAAGTTTCAGCATTCAGGATGAATGTTATGGAGGCCATGTTACTAAATATGAAATGAAAATGACGCTCGCATGCCGTTCCAATCATAACTGGCGCAGAGGCAGATGAGAGGGCAAAGGGGCTTAAAATCACCCCTGAGCTCGGATAATTTAATAACTAGTTGATGAATATTTTGTGTTTTTAGAAGATTTTCAAAATACAAGTTTTTCCTGTTTACTTGCTGACCATTCTTCATGTAATTCCTAATCAAACATTAAAGAACTCAACTTTGTTTCATATCCTAACTATGCTAGCTAAAAATATTGTTTGGCACCTACACGTTTAGATACTTAAGTGTTGATTTAAAAAAAATGACATACTTACCAGCCCTCAGTTTTATCCTACAGTCATAACTCGACTTTGGTGACATTATTTCTCCTTTAGCAACAGTGACGGATGGCCTACAGAGCCAAGCTTTAATATTTCTACAGTGTTTGAGATCAACTTCTCTTAAAATATTTTTGACCTCAAATGGTGGTTCTTCCATTTCGAGAGGATCACATTTCCATGCTTTCAATCGAACGGTGCGCACTTAAACAGAAAAAATCTATTTTGAAAATCCTTAGTCTCAAAAGGAGCCAAGTTACTCAAGGGGCAGTTACTTTCAGGGGGGAGGCGCGTAGTGTAGGAAAGAACGTAGAGTTTCGAGTTGTTATTGTCAGCATCGGTTAACTCCCATAGTTAGCTCTTAATCTACGATTTATAAACAGTATTTTTCAATTTGTTCAAAGTTGTGTAAGGTTGTGATAGTTGAAAAATGTACATGAACGTTATAGTTGGATAATAAAGAACAAATGTTGCAAAGCTTTTAAAGTTCTATAAAAAGAGCGGTTACCTTCTGGGGGGACGGTTATTTTCATGAGGTGGCTACTTAAGACACTACAGTATGTTTAAAAAGGTATTACAAAAAATTTATCGAGGAAGAAAAAAGTCTGTCCTGGTAAAATTGTGTCCTTTTTCTATAAAATATAGACTCTAACAACTCGGTCCCAGGTCTTTTTCGTAATGTGCGCCCCCTGGTCACAGTGTCTAGATTAACACAATTCATTCCTCCTTCACTTTGATATGAAAACAATAGTTTAAAACGAATTAGGAAATATTTCATTTTTATTCCAAGAACATCATTGGTCTTATGATTGCTTATTAGTAGAGACATACATCAACATTTTCCATCTTCGAAAATAAACAGCAAAATACTTTATTACCTGATGGTGTCTTAAAGGTAAAGTCAAAGCGCCATTGAGTGTGTAAAAGCTTCAAATTGAAATCATCGTTCTTTCCTTTATTTGGAAAATATTCATCATCAAAATCCTCGATTCGAACGCCTTCTTGAAAAGAGACATACCAAAATCTATCCTCATTATTATTTACATTTTGTCTCAGACTTTGACGACGACCTTTTTGCAATTTCTTTTTAACTTGAGATGCCGTAAATGATTGTATTTCTTCTACTACACAAGAGCAAAAATGATTTCTTTGAGAAGTGATGTTGTTAAGGAGTTAAGGAAAAAGTCTTGCAAGCATATATATCAGCACTTGTATGAAAAGTTAAATCACTAGAATCGGCGTGTCTGAAATAAATGCCGACATGTGCTACGCTACAGCATGGAACATCTGGTTAAAATATGAACTTTAGAAATTGATTTACACGAGTATCAGAAAATCGAGTCCATGTAAACATTATAAGTTACATTTACATTTCACAAAAAAACAACAACACTATATTAGTAATAAATTCATTACCACGCAAACAGCATTGTCATAAAGGAATGCATTTTAGTTTTAAATTGAGATGCTATAATGTATTTCCATTGCCTAAGCCAACGTTGTCACTTTTAAAGTAGATCCGTCAAATCGTCAGAGAACACTGCATAGTTCACATTGGTTAAGTTAATGTCTTTCTCAAAATTACCTATCCTCAAGTTAAAGTGGAATGGTTTTTTAAAATAAAACAACTTAATAAAAATAACAACTTCTCTACGCAAAATACAAGAAACAGTGTCATAAAAACGTATTCAAAATCATAGTCAAGAGCAGTTTAGCATGCTATCAATAACGCATAAATATGTTAAATTCATAAACCTGGCATCATAACTTATTATTAAAAAAAATTTACCTGGATCAACATTGGACACAAACATTTTTCCAATATGACACCACAAATCAATCCTCAACTTTTCCTCGTTTTCTATTTCTGACAACTTTTCCTTCTTTTTTATTTCTGCCAACTTTTGTAACGATGGTAGCAAATTCAATTTTATGTCATCGTTAATAGTTTCTCTCTTGAATATAAAAACATTTGTAAGAATTATTAAATGGTATTTGAAAACTGCGTATTTTTTAACAAATAGATAACATTTAACCGTTGTCTGTACAGTGATAGATACACGGGTATGACGTCAATTGTGATAAAAACTAAAAATGTGGCCACGAGCCGCCACCACTTGAAACATTGAAAAGTTTTCATTTTGCAAATATCACGCTTACGTGATCTATCGAATTGAAAAAATGCTATTGGCTAGCTTAATCACGTGATAAAATGTGATTGGCTAACAAAATAAACATGCAATGGCTGATCAACTACGTATGGACGAGAGGTTCTTGCCACTATAGCAGTTTAGTGGATGGCACCGTATTTCGACTTTATTCCAAAGCCATCATCAGAGAATATAAATAATATATTAATCCTAACACGGTTTCTAATATGCACATGAAAAACATGTGATCAATATTGCAGATCAATATTGTTGAAATTTCGTTATCGAAGGCGAAGTACAAATTAATGTTTGAAAACCGGGTTTTTTCTTTTCTTTTTGCTCAAATACGTTAATTGCCTATACTAGGTCTTTGTGAATATATCCATTTTCCATTCAGGAGGTTGTAATATTGTGAGATTTCTCCCTTTTATTGCTTAGTCATGTTACTTATATACAGATCATTACTTAATTATAATATACGTAGTATGACGTACGAAACACTAATAATTTGAATAATAACTATACTACACCTCTCCCCAAACTAATTAAATATATTTTTTTGTATTTTATATCTATAAGTTCGTTTATGAAAATATTAATTGTTTCTTTAAATTAACTTTCAACTTGTCCGTATCGAATAGGGGCTTTTCTTGTACGCCAAGGATACCGCCGTTCTTTTTCCTTTATACTTTCCTCAATGGGTTCTAGACTTTTTCCATTTTCTATCTTCTTGAAAAATGACGAATTACGAGTAAGCAACATTCTATCTTTCTTCGCTGTTACCATTGAACCTTTTCTTTCCACGACTTCACATGGCTTACCATCATAGGGTGTTTGTTGTTTATTAGTGGTGGCATCTTTCTTTACTAACACCATATCACCTACTTTAATCTCACTTGTCTTTACGTTCCTATTATTGTCTGCATGTAATTTCATCTTCAATTTTGCTCTTTCATCCTGTACTCGAATTCTTTCCTCTGTATCTTCATAAAATGGTTCTTCAGGTAAACGTATTTTCATTGGTCGACCGAATAAAGCCATAGATGGAGAGATTTTGGTCGAACTATGAGGTGTGGCACGATAATTTCGCAAGAACCTGTGGATTTCTTGCTTCCAATTTTTTCCCTCCATTATCGCAGCCTTTATTGTCTTTTTGATAGTACGCATAAATCTTTCCACTTCCCCGTTGGCTCGTGGCCAATAAGGAGTAACTTTTCTGTGTTTAAATCCCAAATACTTTGAAAACTCGTAAAATTCCTTGCTATTGAATGGCGGTCCATTGTCTGAACGTATCGTATCTGGTATCCCGAACTCCGAAAGTATCTTATCCAAACAGGGTATAACAGTCTTTGCGGACGTTGATCGGATTACTTCTACAATGGGATATCTGGAAAATCATCATACAAAACAAACAAATATTCACCTGTGCCTGTAGGAGCTACACCAAAGTCCATACTTAGTTCTTTCCAAGGAGATCTTGGCAACTCTGACATTTTCAATGGTTCCTTTTCACTGACTGGAGTTGTAATCTGACAGGCTAAACACGATTTAACTTTTTCATTAACTAACTCATCTATACGTGGAAACCATACCTTTTCACGTAATAACGCTTTCGTTTTTGACATTCCCATATGACCTTCATGAGCAATGTTCACTACTTTCTCTCGTAAACTTTCTGGTATGATTATTTGATGTTTTCGTAGAATTATACCCGAAGATATGCAAAGTTCATCTTTAAGTTTCTCATATGAACTAAATTCTGCTTGATTTACTCCTACCATCTTTGAACTCTCAAACCATCTACCTGTTTCAATGGCTTGAATTACTGCTCGAAGAGTAATGTCTTCTTGTAGCTTCTTCCAGATCTTTCCTGCTGATTGTTCTTGGAACCGAGTTCTGTGTAACGTAATTAACAAATTCTTCTGCTACTTTCTCTTGCCGGTTGTTTAGTTTCTCATCAGATAAGGGATGACGTGAGAGAAAATCTGCAGGATTTTCAGTTCCAGGTTGAAAACAGATTTCAAAATCATATGGTTGCAATCGCAAAGCCCATCGTTCTAATCTCGCAGATGGCTTTGATGATGGATTTGTGTATATTTTCACCAGCGGCTTGTGATCAGTGACGATGGTGAACTTTCCTCCAAACAAATATAAATGAAAATGTTCGCAGGCCCATACTATAGCTAAAGCTTCTTTTTCCAAGTGAGAATAATTTTTCTCTGTGGTAGTTAGTGATTTACTAGCGTAAGCAATTATTTTTTCTTCTCCCTTTTTCCTCTGCGCCAAGACTGCTGCAATACCAACTGGACTAGCATCTGTGAAAACCTCCGTATCACTATCCGGATCGAAATACGCACTTTCTGGCCCATCTGTTAATGCTTTCCGTAGGGCTTTCATTGTGTCGTCTTGTTCTCTTGTCCACACGAATGGGGCATCTTTCTTGATAAGTCGACGTAACGGCTCCGTAATTGTGGCGTAATGTGGAATAAATCGACAGCAAAAATTGGTCATGCCTAACAAACTTCGTACTTCTCCCACATCTTTAGGATTTGTGCATTCCTTAATTGCTCTCACTTTATTGGGATCCGGCACAATACCATTCTCTGAGAACACATACCCTTGGAATATTAAATTTCTTTTCTTAAACTGACATTTCTCTTTCTTAAGAGTTAGTCCTCGATCTTTAATTCGTTGTAATACCGCGTTCAAATTTGCATCGTGATCTTTCTCGTCTACGCCAAACACCATAATGTCATCACTGATATTAATCACGCCTCTCAGTCCATTCAACGTTTCTCTGATGGCATTTTGGAATATCTCTGCAGCACAGTTTATTCCAAAATTCAAACGTCGAAATCTCCGTAGACCAATGTGTGTTGAGAAGGTTGTCAAATATCTTGATTCTGCATCGAGCTCTAACTGGTTATAGCCTTGATTTAAGTCCAATTTGCTAAACCATACAGCACCATTTAGATCACTTATAATTTCGCCAATCGTCGGAGTCAAGTGTCGTCTCTCTTTATTGCTTTGTTTACTTGTCGCATATCTATACAAACTCGGACCTCCCCTTTTGTTTTGGTACGACCACGACTGGTGAAACCCAAGGTGTTGGTCCATCCGTTTCTCTATGACTCCGCGTTCTTCGTCTCGTTTTAACTGTTTCTCCAAGTCTTTTCTCACATGAAACGGCACCCGACGATGAGGTTGTGCGATAGGTTGTACGTCCTTATCTACGTGTAGATGAACTTGAAACCCTTTCAATTTTCCCAGTCCTTGAAAGACTTCTTGATATTTGTTAATTAGCTCTTCCACTTTGGTATCTTCTCTCACTTTTCTTGTGCCTTTTCTTTAACGGGTTCCTGTTTAGACTTTGTAGTGCCTTCTATGGATGCAACTATTTGTACCAGGCCCAATTTTGAGAACTTTTCCAGCTTATCAAGCAACCCGTATTCCCATTAACAACAAAAAATGTCTCCAACCCATATAGTTTATCGGTTTCGACCACACACTGACATTTTCCTTTAATTGATAGTTGTTTCTCCGACCCATAAGGGAAGATTTTCTCATTTGCTTGCTGCAATATTGGCTTTTTCTTCAATTTGTTAAAATTCACTTCATCCAAGAGATTTACGCTGGAACCGGTATCTGCCATGACTGACACAGGAGTACCATTTATCTTAACTTTAAATTTCGGCAGCTTTTGTTGCGCCGTCAACGTTGAAAATACATATTCATTTTCCATACTTGATTCAGACGTTATTTCTTGCACCGTATTCACTTGTCGAGGCCTTACTTGATCACGTTTTATCTGTCCGTTTCGCTTTGTTGATTCAGCGCGAGAACTTGGATAATTGTCTTGCATCCGATCTTTGCCTCTTCGATTCTCATGGCAACAAACTTGAAAATGATTCCATTTTAAACACTGTCGACATTTCTTTCAATATGCCGGGCAATTTGTTTTCCCTGGACGATGCTCACGAGCACAAAATTTGCATTTGATCTTCGATGAATATTCGAAAGCATTTGAGGTTTTATCCGTGGGCGTCTTGAACTGCTTTCTTTTATGCCAAATTCGATTCGTGCTTTCGATGCCTTCTGCTTGTGTTTTTGACATCTCCATTGTTTTTCCCATTTGCATTAATTTCTCCATCGTTATTTCTGGGTCTGCTAACGCTTTTCTCCGCAATTTTGAAGATGAACCATTTTGTATGATCTGAGTTTTTATCTCTCTGCTTTCTTCATGAAATTCGCAGGATTTGGCCAATTGTTTCAATCTCGTATAGTATGCGGATATGTTTTCTCCTGGGAGTTGTTTCGCTTGACGAAACTTATAAACTTCGAATTCTATATTCTTCTGTGGAGTGAAGTAATTTCGTAACGCTTTCTCCGCTTTTCTAAATACATCTTCTTCTCTGTCTGGCTCGTCGATTTCTAGAGTTTCGAATATCTCATTAACTTCTTCACCGACATAGTGCAGGAGCATCGCCTTCTTTCTTGCGGCGTTTGTGATGTTCATTGCCAACAACAAATTCTCCAATCTTGATACGTATTTTCCCCAAGCTTTTCTAAGGTCGGGTTCTTCTAAGTTGAACGTCGGGAAGCTAGGCAGAGCTGTCATGTTCGAAATGTAGTTTCTTCGTCCCTTAATAATCTTTGTCGCCAGATGTAATATTGTGAGATTTCTCCCTTTTATTGCTTAGTCATGTTACTTATATACAGATCATTACTTAATTATAATATACGTAGTATGACGTACGAAACACTAATAATTTGAATAATAACTATACTACAGAGGTATTGCAATAATTTTCAAATACATCTCCGCAATTTGTTTGTGTTTATAAACATGAAATTTCCTGTGACGTCAAATTCCGTACGTATGTCCACTTATAGATCATAGCTCTCGACTAATGGAATTGCTCAAATTCTTCTAGCTTTTATATAAAAATAATTATCAAGCAATTCACATCACTCTATTTATATCTTATACACAATTTGGTAGAAAATTCATTTGTAACCTATTGATGTATACATTGATAAAGAAACATATATAAACCTATATATTTAGTATTAGCTATAAATGAAAAGATGCTGTAGGAAAACTAAATCACGGAAATTGACTGCAGCAGTTCACCAATCAAGCCATGCATTTGTTGAATATAAGTTAATAACTGTACCTTGCTATGCATTATTGCCTTTACCTCAAAAACATATGGCGAGATTAACATTTATAATCAATACAAACAGAAAACAAAAGTAGCGTGATAGTCTACAATATACAAAGCAAAATGTCAAATTTTAAACTAGATTTTGCTTCACTAAAACTTTAGTCAGTAGTTTTAGAAGTTTTGTAAGAGACAATCTAAAAATTTGTGTAATAGGCACTTTAAATAAAGCAATCAAGACTAATAAAATATACAGTAACTGATTTCGCGTTGAAATGTTCAATAATGTCTAGAATGAAGAAGTGTTCAAACAGTGAGCAACAATTTTCAATACTTGAAATATCACGACACTTCCCATTCCAAAACAGCAGAAAATATACAAAGAATAAACAAAAAATTGAAACGACGACATTGTTTTTGGTCGGTGCTGTTATTTTTGCTTTCCTAAATGTTGTCATATGATCCCATAATGTATTTACCTCACTACGATTTCTATCAGCTGTACAATAAATCCTATATTGTTCGCCTTTGATATAACCACGCAGTGCAAGATTATACTGATGGAGGTTATACTCGTCCTCTTCGTTTTCGTTGTCTAAGCAAACGAAACGTACGTCGCCTCCATATTTTTCTCTCTGCATTTTGTCTTCAAAAGATAACTGAAAAAGATGGTAAAAATTAAACGTCGTCAATGCCATTTTGCACCAGTATATAAAGACTCCTTAATGGGCTGGATAGTTAAAAGTTATTTACGCACGCATTAATTTGCTTTCAAACTCAAATTTTTTGCACAAGGGTTTTTCAAAATATATGCTTTAGTAAGTATTTAAAAAACAAACAGCTGGAAACCTAACCGACAAAGACCATGATTTGACGCAGACGTCACTGTGTGCTGTATAAGCCATTGTTGGTGCTCTATAGAAAATCCATCAATTTAAAAGAGTTGTGACTGTAAATTGGAGAAATTACGGCAACTCTGTTTGATACAGGAAGGCAATGAATTGACAATAATCACAGCTTATTTTCTTTCTGATAAAAATAGCTAAGCTTTTTAAATGACGCTTGGGTCTTCATTAATTCGCTAAGCAAAGACAAGAAGTGAACTGCATTCCCAAAGCATTCATCTTCTTTCCTTTTTACTTAGTCTATTGAAATGCTTAGTAATCAATGAAACAATATTCTAGGTGATATCACCTGAGATATTTCCGAATGTAGCTCGTTTTCCATCTAAAAAGACATTTTACTGCAATTCTACAGGCCATGGCGATCTCACGGTGCCAAAGGAAGTGCCAAAACTCGCAATTTAAGAAAATCACAAGTTTGGATACAACCTTCAATTTACATTTGATTTTTAATCTTAGTAAGGGAACTGTGCAATATAATCGAATATTTTATAGTGGAGAAAGTTGACTGTAGAAAACACCATATTAAACTGCGTTCTTAGTTTACAGTTGGAAAAATTTTTTTCTATCCACCACAATGAGAAAAGAAAATGATTGATTAATTTTTCTTATTCGTTTAACAATAATAAGCTGAACCTATTAAAGTTTTATCTATACTTCACTTCTCTTCAACTTAACCATCCACTTCAATCACTTGACTTCACTTTACTTCCACCTCAAATAACACTTCATTCCACTCCACTCTACTTCCCTCCAATCCACTCCACTCCACTCCACTTCAAACCACTCCACTTCATTTCACTTCACTTTACTTCACTCCACTCCACTTCACTAAACACTTTTACAACTCACCAATATCTCGAAAATAAGGAATCGGGCATGACGACAATTACTTTCTTCACCGATGATTTTAACATCAACAACATCCCCATGTGGGTCTATAACAGTTTACAAAGCTTTAAAATGAAATACGAAACATAGTTGCAGTTATTACCCCATGCATTACAGCATAAATCTAGGACAATATCTTTTCGTAACAGAACAGCCACGTTACGTAACATCCAATGAGCAGTGAATACAAGACAAGCGAAATCAATGCGTTAATCAACATTAAAACGAAAACTGGTTGAACGTGGTCCGAACGGACGATATGCAGTTTACAAAACATTGTTACGGAAACAATTTTTACTCGCTTGGAAAGACAAACGATACAGTGAAGACTGTTTATCGATGAATCTAATTACGAAAAATAAGGACAAAGGCGGCAGGTTTCCGTTTATGTAAAAAATGAAAAATTTTTAAGTTCTTGTGTTGAACCAGAAATTTCTAAACCAATATAAAGAAGTACTAAAAGAACTTGTTTACATTATGCTTGACAAACTTATATCTGTTTAAAAAGCTAAAAAATGTCATACACAATATTATGTGTAATAATGTTAACTTGTTCCATATCATAAAATTTTCATATATAAATACATATTGTATCATTTGTAAGCGCTTATTGTACTTTTTCAAGTGACAACGTGTTAAATATCAACTAAAGACACCATCGCATTGACAGGAATCAGACTTTTCACCTTCACTTTGTATTATTTTATTTGGTTTGAACAACATCAATCAACATAGGTGAGGCGCAACCAGCAATATGTGCTCCCTGGATATGTTTCTCCGCAAAATATGTAGATCATGCATTGCTTTTATCAGCTGAAAACTCACTTAGGTAAAATGGAAACGATAGGCAACTCCATTGAAAACCGAATAATTATGCACAAAACTTCGCATGTTTTTTGTTTGAGAAAATACCAAAAAATTCCAAATGGACATGGTAAGATGAAAATGAAAAACTAGTTATATAATGCCTTTAAAACAAGACATAAAATTTAGTAATGTTGTAATCTTTTAGGTATTTTACCATGCAACAACAATATGATAAAACAGTACAACAAACAAATAATCATTATAACTACAATAAGATAATAATGTTCAATGTTCAATCCTAAGAGAAATGAAGAATTTTTACCTTCAAACTTGGGTACCCATATTCGTGCTCCATATTTGGTTTCTATGTATTCTTTCGTTTTGCGATTCCCTCCAAGCATCACAGGAATATGTTTTTTCAAGATCGAAAGCCACTGGAAACGGTCTTCTTTCTCTTTAAATTCTGTCTACAAAAAAGAACGGTTATGTTTTACAGTTGGTATCATTTCAAATTACATAGACAGCAAATTATCAAAATAGCTATTTTCCGTTAATCGTTGGTTGGAAGGCACACTACGGAGTGATTAGACAGCTTTAGCAAACGCAACGCGAAGTCAACTAGGACGTTTAAATGTTGAGGAGAACTGGGTCGAGGACGATGTTGTACTGTCAACTTATTTTGGTTTAGCATTTTTGAGACGGGGAGTCGAGGACGTGAAAATTTATAGTTCACTTTCAAAGAGTTTATTTTCTTCGATGAGACGAGTGAAAAACACATATTCCTAACAAAATACAAATGTTTGTTCAAAAAATAGTGAATTGGAATTCAATATATGTTTGATTTTCCGTCGTTCACTGAAGGCGAATCGCAGCAATGTTTTGGAAAAACAAGTTAGTTTGTTTATGCACTTATTCTTCATGAAAATCTTTTATTTTGACACCTTAGACATCGGCCATGTCTTTATCAACTCTTTAACATGTGATATTGAATAGATTTTAATTAAAAACAAGGCGCTTTTAAAATAATTACATGTACGATGTGAAAACAGTAAAGAACAAGTCGTAGCAAAGCTACTTCCTTTGGCGACGACGCCGTGAAATCGTCTTCTTTGACGCGTCCTGCATGTTCAAGATGGCGGATGAACATCAAAATACAAAAAGGTAGGAATCGAACAGTTTTAAGTGTTTAAAGCATTTTTTTAGCAATAAGATATTGTTATGTTCAGTTTGTACTGAGATAAGGGCAAATTATTTAACACAGAGTACTAAATCAATCTTTTTTCAAATATTACAACTCAACTAATATTTCGTTATATTTTTATATTACACAAAATATTATATATTTATAATTAGTTTATTTGTTTGGTTTCCTTTGCATTCTTAATTATTTTTGTAATTTTAGCAAAAAAGCAATGACTTGGACAAATGAACATAATGAAATTCTAGTTCGTGAAATGTACTTATTCCAACCATGGAACTTCAAAAAAGGATCACAGCAACGAGGTAATGCATGGGAAATGATCAGTGATTCCTTAAATGATATGGATAGCCCAAAGTTTAACGTGACGCAAAAGTCTGTTCAAGACCACTACACTTTACTTCAAAAACAACAAAAGAAAAGATTAAGAGAGGAGGAAAAAGCTTCTGGGATCTTTGCAGAGCCGTCTGCAGTAGAAACTTCCATTGAGGAAATTATTCAATTTTTCAGAAATAGAGATGAAGAAAAGAAAATTTTGGAAGAGAAACAAAAACAAAACTCTGTTGCAGAAGTAGAAAATGTGCGAGCACACCTTGCCACGCCATTAGAGAGATTTAGCAAACACGACGTATCGTCTAAGACGCCGTGAAAATGGCGTAAATATGGCGTGGACCCAACCATATATGGGAATATCACGCCATTTTTACGCCATTTTCACGACGTCTTAGAGGCTTAGACGATACGTCGTGTTTGCTAAATCTCTCAATTTTCACGTCCTCGTCGACGTCGCGTTGTGTTTGCTAAAGCTGTCTATTAACACAATTGGTGACACAATTTATTCAAAACTCATTCAAACGTCACTGATGATATACGACATGACAACGCTAGGTGGCAACCACTGAACTAGCTTATAGCTCAATGGTGGTAACACTATATCAAATATTGTTACAACGAAGTTGGAAACATTTAGCTTTGACTGAAGCAAAGGCTTTTTTTAAAAAAGGAAAAGACGTCAAGAAATGAGTTAAAAAAAAACGAAATAAACGGAACAGTTTTCTAGTTCATTCATTAACTGGCATCCACAAAACAGACATGCTAATTGCGAACTGTTGTTTGACTTACAATTATTTGTTGTATAAGAGATTCTGCTTGAAGACATTTGTTTTTCTCACCAATGATAACAAGTTGAACAAAATCCCCATGCTGTTCTATAAAAACGAAGGAAGAGATAATAGTTGATAAATTGTGACGAAAATGTTCAACAAACACAATAAAATGCTTTCTACATTTAATATATACAACTTAATAAGCATTACTTATGAAAAAAACCCCGCATATCAGAAAATTATCATAACCAAAAACTGACACAGAAACATTAAGCATCAAAAATACGTAGCTATATTTGTGATCAAGCTGGGCATAAAATAACGCCAGGCATAAGCTACAATATTCGGACAATGTTTTTCAAATCATTAAAGCTTCAACAAAAAAAAACACACACACACAAACCCACTTGCCTTCTCGAACAGGAACATAGATTTGAGTTTCAGACTTTGCAATGATACTGTTAATCACAGTGTGACCTTTTCCAACGACTACACCAACGTACTTTCGCTCGATAGAAACCTCTTTTTTATAGTTTTTGAGATCCTGAAAGTCATTCTGTGTAAAAATAACAATGAGATCAATAGACTGTACAGTAGCTAAGTAAATCATTTCACATTAATGTATTGGTAATGAATAATAAGAAACATGAACACCAAATAAGTAATCAGCAAAACGCTTAGACAAATTTTTTGATCAATAACTGAAAATATTGAATTTCATGCAATGATTTCCACAGTTAGCAGATGTTTCTTCAAACTTCGTGGGGTGAGTTTCACCGCCAAATGGGCAAGAAAACTCCGGCTCTAGCTTAATCATGCTTTAGCTACATCAGACAGTTTACATGTCCGAAAATTTAAGATATTTCAAAGGAATGAAGAATTCTTTTTGTCATGCAAAGCGAGCAAATTTCTTTCTTTTCATATTAATTTTGTGTTCAATGAATTGACAAACATGTCGCGCCTTGCATACACGAGAGTTTTCAGGCTTAAAGATGAAGCAGAAAATTACAAAGGCTTTATAAAGGCTAGCTGGCCAATGCTCCCAGGTAGAACATACCGCTTCTCAGTAACGGTAGTCCTGGCCAGAGATAAAACTCATTCAAACGTTACTGATAACGCAAGACATGAGAAATACAATAATCGCAAAGAAGTACGTAAGTTTCGACAGTTTGTCCTTGTAGTGATTAACAAAACTATCAATTTTATAGATTAAAAGGAGCCATTTTCAACTTTGGTATGAATACTAAAGCGTGTTGGCTAATAAATCATCGCATATTTTTGAGAACATTTTATGCACTTGCTATAACCGACCATCAGCGATAAACGTCACCGATTCTAACGGCGCTTTGCGATGAATGGTAACTACACTTAACTTACAACTTTTTGTCGTATGAGAGATTCTGCTTGAAGACACTTGTTTTTCTCACCAGTGATAACAAGTTGAACAAAATCCCCATGCTATTCTATAAAAACGAAGGAAGAGATAATAGTTGATAAATTGTGACGAAAATGTTCAACAAACACATTAAAATGCTTTCTACGATATATACAACTAAATAAGCATTACTGTATGAAAAAACCTCGGCTATTTACCAAAAACTGACACAGAAACATCAAGCATCAAAAATACATAGCTATATTTGTGAACAAGCTGGGCATATAACAACGCCAGGTATAAGCTACAATATTCAGACAATGTTTGGAACTTTCTAAATCACCACAGCTTCAATAGGAAAACACACAAACCCACTTGCCTTCTCGAGTGGGAACAATGATTTGAGTTTCAGAGTGTGCCATGATGCTGTTGATCACTGTGTGACCTTTACCAACGACTACACCAACATACTTTCGCTGGATAAAAACCTCTTTTTTATAGTTTTTGAGATCCTTGAAGTCATTCTGTGTAAAAATAACCAAGAAAAATGTGATCAATAGACTGTATGTACAGTAAATCATTTCACATAAATGTATTGGTAATAAATAATAAAAAAACATAAACATCAAACAAACGATCGTCAAAAATGATCGTCAAAACGCTCTAACAAATTTTTTGAAAACTTGAAATTATTGAATGTCAATGATTTCCACAGATAGCAGAAGGTTTTTAAAATTTGGAGGAGGGGGGAGGGGTTAATCGCCAAATGCGGCTAAAAAACTTCGGCTCTAGCTTAATCATGCTTTAGTTTCATCAGACAGTTTACATGTCCGAAAATTTAAGATATTTAAAAGGAATGAAGAATTCTTTTCCCCATGCAAAGCGAGCACATTTCTTTCTTAATTTTCACATTAATTTTTTGTTCAATAAATTGACAAACATGTCGCACCTTGCATACGAGAGTTTTCAGGCTAAACAATGAAGCAGAAGATTACAAACGTGATATGATTGTGTTTGAATTTTCTTATAAAAGCTAGCTGGCCAATGTTCCCAGGTAGAACATATCGTTTCACAGTAACAATAGTCCAGGCCAGATATAGCTAAAACTCATTCAAACGTTACTGATAACGCAAGACATGACAAAACAATAATCGCAAAGAAGTGTGTAAGTGTTGGCAATTTATCCTTGTAGTGATTAACACAATTTCCAAATAGTGTAACAACGAAATTTGCAACTTTAACCTCCATTGAAAGAAAAGTTTTTTAAAAAAGACAACAAAATCAAGAAAAGAGTTTTTAACAAATCAACGAAATGAACGAAAGACTTTTCAAGTTCAATATTTAACTGACCTAACATGCTACAACCATAATTGAGTATTGTTTAACTTACAATTGTTTGTCGTATGAGAGATTCTGCTTGAAGACATTTTTTTTTCTCACCAATGATAACAAGTTGAACAAAATATCCAAGCTGTTCTACAAAAAAAAAGGAAGAGATAGTAGCTAGTTGATAAATTATGCCGATGTTAAAACTTCAACAAACACAAAAAAATGCTTTCTACAATAGAGTATACTATGCATGCATGCATGCATTACTTAAGAACTTGCATTCATATCAAGAATCCCTCAATCAAAACTGAAATGGAAACATCAAACAACAAAAATATATCTGTTATCAAGCTGGGCATATAACAATGCCAGGCATAAGCTACAATATTCGGACAATATTTTGAACTTTCTAAATCACCACAGCTTCAATAGGAAAACACACAAACCCACTTGCCTTCTCGAAGGGAACAATGATTTGAGTTTCAGAGTGTGCCATGATGCTGTTGATCACTGTGTGACGTTTACCAATGACTACACCAACATACTTTCGCTCGATAGAAACCTCTTTTTTATAGTTTTTGAGATCCTGAAAGTCATTCTGTGTAAAGCAATTTGATTAGTGGGCTGCACAGTAAATTATTTGACATGAATCATGAATGCAGTGGTAGACAACCACTTTGTTATCTTGCAGTATAAGTGACAATCATGTGAAATATTGCAAAAATTATAATGTATATTAGTAGAACCAAAACTACAGAATCATTGAAAAATGTACATAAAAAACATGGACTACTCCATAACTTCCATTTTTGAAATACAAAATGACTTCTCTGACAAAGTGTGTGTCTAATGCTTCATAGTAGCCACCAGTTGCAACTTCAATGCAGATAAATACTTAATGTTTTCTTTATAAGCATTATAAACATAATTAATTAAACTAATTGCTACAATATTACATTGAAATATGCCATCTATCTTAGGGAAAGATTCATTTGAATTAAAGTAACAACTAATTGCTTTGATAGTCTAACTATCTTTCCAAAATTTAACTAAATATTACATAAGCAGTAGACTAGCAGCGAGTGCATGGGCATATCCAGGTGGGGCACAAGAGTGCACATACTTTTTCAGGGATGTAAGAGGATTGAGAATTGAGGGAGCTTATATTCACATAATCGTATGTTATAATCAAAGATCAATCACAATTTACTTCAATAGAAACTGATAAAGTAGAATGTGCCCATATGATTAGCCACCCTCCACCTTCTCTTCAAATTATTCATGTTCTGGCATCCCCGCTTTCTGAGCTTAGATATTGTCAAAACTTGTCTAATTAGATCATCAATCAAATTACCAACCAACATGAACTACATACGAAAAGCTTTATGTCACAAGCAATAATCATATCACAGATATACTTACAACACTTTTCAATATGTCTTTCTGTGCCTGTTTGCAGGCTGTTGGAGAACCACTTATGTTAGAACCTGATTCACCTTTGTTCAATTTTTTTGACATTTTGTTTATTCTTTCCAATAATGTGTTCCATATATAATAAATTGATCAGGCACACAAACAAACATTTTTGTAATGTTGGGATATTTTCAACAAAATCAGTTCTAAAAGAAAGAAAAATATGGTCCTCATTTCTAAATTTAACTCACCAGCAAATACTGTAAATATTACCAATGAACTGTTGCATTTACAGGGCCTGACATACAGACGCTTATTTCTGCTTATGTCAATGGCAAAGTTAACCTCCTTCAAAAAATAAACTTTATAACATTTCAAACTTATACATGAATTTGTTCCATGTTTGTAAATGTAGATCATCCAGGTTGGTATAGTCCTGAGAAGGAATGTTTTTGTTGTTGTTGACTTATTACTGTTGTTGACTTTTGTCGTTGTTGACCATTTACTTTATGAATTTGTTTGTTAGGAAGTTTAAATTTATGTTTGAACATTTTAAATCTAAAATGCAACGGTTCTAGGGTTATGGATTGCCTCAACAATGTCAACTCCTTTTTTAAAGTTAAAAATAAATCCTCCAGGCTACCACCATAGTAAAGGTGAGTTTCCACAATCCACACATAAAGGCATTTTGGAATTGGGGGATTTTTGCCACCCACAAAAAATCTTGACAGTGGCATTGATTTTTGTTCACATATTCTATTAAACGCCTGTATTTTTCAGCGTGGTTAACAAAAGCATTTCATTATCACTACAAGAATATGTGCGGTTGCTCCGTTGTGGCCAAAAAAATCAGAGTCTGTTGTCAGTTAGTTCGAACAAACTCCTGTTAGTCAATTAATGACGATGCAGCTATACTAATTCTCGATAATAGAACATGTATATGAGATTCGATCGAAGTTATCACCAAAAACTTGAACTAGAAATAGAGTATATAAACATAATAAATACCTCGGCTTGGTATAGATTAACGCCACCTTTACCAAATCTGATTATAAAGTTCTTCCTTTATCACTTTATCAGTGTTTATGAATGCCTATATTCATAACATGTCAAAGAAACAATAAAAAGTGCCGATTTAGTAAATGCCATAAATAAATTATTCTGATCACGAGCGTACGAACCGGGGGGGAAAGGGCGCGTCCCGTAAAAGGCCAACAAGCTGAAGTGCTTTTTTTGCATAAAAATTGACTTTTTGTTGAAGGTAATAAATTTCAACATCAAAGTTGCTTTTGATATTTAAAAACATTGCAATGTGCCGTTTTTCATAACTCATAAGCTATTTATGTGCATTTGTAAAGTCTTAACGTTCATACTATTTATAATCAAGAGTAGTGCTATTGTCACTTATAACTGAAATTAATAAAGGAAATTTTTTATATTTTTTTAAGAACAGTTTGAATAAGGACACTTTATACCTCACACATTTAAGTGGGTTGTATCCTGGACTCTCCATCGAAGGCACTCATTGGTGGCTCTGCAATAGAAAACCAATATTTTGGGGTGGGGACAGAGTTAGGGTTAGGGTTAGGGTTAGGGTTAGGTTTTAAGGGCGAGTGGCTGAATGGTTAATGGCGTGAGCTGTAAGCCAGACGGCGCGGGTTCAATCCCGGCTCGTGGCACATTTGGCAATGTGTCTGTAAACCTAGCCCGGGTTGACCAAAGCCATGTGAGGGAAATTTGGTAGAGGAAACTATGTCGTCGGATGGACTGTACCTGCATCTGCATTGTTGCAGCCTTGTCACACGGTGTCACGCTGATATCATCGTTGTGGTTGCGTGAAGGGTACGAGTGATTGTAGTCTGGTCAGCTGCTTTCACTATAATTTCAGTAACCAGGATTTTCCACTTCGTGGAACCCTCATACGTCGAAATCGACGGAGTCCATTATGTAAGAGTCAAGGGGGGTGGGGGGCAAAATCGTTTCCCGGATGTTCAGCTACAGTGGCCGACCAATGTGTCCGACTTTGGCCGAGTATGATTTCATTACTTAATCGTATGTATTATGAACTTAGCCCCATATGCTTCCCCGCCATAATAATTTGACCGCAATTTTGAATAGAAGAAAAATATTTTCAAAATGGATGGCGGGAAAGTCAAAAATAGGTACGCAATGCGCACACGTAGGTACCCAACAAAAATATTTGGCTAAGAAATAAAGTAGATTCAACGGGCATAATTCAAATAAAATTATATATTTAATATTAATTACCCAAAAATTGTTCAAAATTTGAAAATGTTCTTTAGTTTCATGACCCAGCAATTGTCTAGTCCTTTCTGCATTTTTCGATGACCCCAGTTTAAACTTCGATTGCATGTCAAGTGACTGCACTCACAAGCTTTGCACAAGAAAATGACGTCATTTAGATTTCTCGCCACTTTTAAAGGGTTTTTTCTTACTGACTGCCATTTTTGCTATAGTTGTGTTTCAAAACAGTTTTCTGACGTATCTGAGATGTCGTTCACACAACCGATAAATCGGTTAAATCGATTAAATTCACCAACAAAATATTGTAAGTTTGTGTGAGTAAATCGAGCAATGTGTAATCAATACGAATAATACTGAATTGGTCTAATGGCAGACAGCTCATCGCACCAAGTACACGAGATGCTAGTACTGATTGCTTGAAATTGATGTTTGTCATCGCCATTCGGTCTACATTAGATCAAATTCTTGGCTTTCGATGTTAGTTTTTCATGAAGTTTTGTGAAGAAGAAGATTGTTCGTTTGTATAATCGATTAATTGAGCTCATGTTTAGTTCTGCTTGAAATATATGACAACAGGGAATATAGTTCAAGTCAATTTTTGTGTTGAATGTTTTGACTTAATATTTCTGAAATTTAGGAACATTTTCTTATGATTAGGCCATGTGCTGATGGAAAATCACTTAGGCTTGGTCTTTGTACGAAGACAGACGCTTCTCAGTTCACACTGTCGCATGTACTATGTTGTGTATTGGATTCATTGCCATTCTCTGATTGACTTTACACACAGTACAATTTTACGGTAAACCTTGGATCAGAAAGAACAAATGGGCAAGCTTGAATACTTTATACTAAATGTAGTAAATCGAGCAGATACCAAAAACAGCTAAAATAGCTTTATTTCCACAAAAGAAAAGATAAAATTTATTTTTCTTAAAGTAAATTAAATGAGTGATTTATTTCATTTATCGTATGTTTTCACTCAAATCTCTCAACTACATCCAAAACAAACTGTCTTCCTCCGTATGCTTAAGTATTAATTCTTTGTAAGAACCGACGTAACAAAATTTTTAAAGAGATCCGCTTTAGATTTTTAATTCTATTCGAGTACTCAGAGTCAGCAAGTACTCTACTAAAAAATCTGTTTATAGTACTACATAAGAACAGTTCCATATATAATCCCGCAAGAATTATTAACAGAGAAAGAAAATATGCCATGACCAGAAGAGTTAAGACTTGGTTGAGGTATGACCTATCAGTGGTATCGCCCTTCTAAATTTCCAAAAAATGAGCAAACAGACAATTTTTCTCTAACAGAGGAAGCAAACAAGTCTGTTCAACAAAATAACAATGGAAAACGCAACTTTGGAACATTAAGCTACTGAAAACAATTGCAAATAAAGGAATAACGACAAGGTTGAAAATGTAAAAAGTTGCATTACATTTTCACGATTTGCTGTGATATTTTTGTAAATCTCTTCTCCTTAGCTGATCTTATTATCGACATTTGTTGGCACCCCTCTTCGGTGCCTATATATGCATGTTCTAGGACTACCGTTTTTCCCATGTAAACATGTCAGCCCCAGTGGTCAGCCCTGCTGACAGGGCTAAAAGTAGAATTACCATGGTAACTAGTACGTTCATTCTTCGTTCCTTTTTGCAATGGCGTGGGACAAATGAAGTAATATATTGATAACCAGTAACTTATAGCTGAGTGACAACGATAGAAAAAACAAAAACAGGTAATACAAGAATCGTTATAAATGTTCAGTTAGCCATGTTAGGTTTTTTAATTTTTACGCAAAAAACCGCCAGGGACTTATACGAACCATACTCCTGGGTTCAAACCATTTACTTTAAAGTTAACTTCATTAACTGTATATTATAACTGTGGAAATAACTGTTCTGCTTCAATTTATTTTTCTTGACTCATATTCATTTCTGCGTCCCTCCAGAAATCAACAGCCGGGGGGGCTCCGTCCCCCTGCCACCACGCCACTGTCCCTGACCATCTACGATAACCAAAGAATTCTCTCAGTCAACAAGTGGAGGTCGTTTGACGCTTAAGCCCGGTTTTCATGTAATCGTCTCGATGGTCTGTCGTCTGAAAGCGTGCAGGGACGATATCACACGCAATCATTTCAAGAACAGAGTTCTATCCAGACGATTGTAATCGCCTTCATCGCCTCGTTCGTTTCGATCGTCTCGAAAATGTTTCCATAAAAACGCTCTAATCATCCCTGCACGCTTTCAGACGACTGACGATCGAGACGATTATATAGAAACCAGGCTTTAGATTCCCACCAAACCAAAAAGAGTCAAAGTGTTCCGCATCAAGGTCAGCTTAACACGTTTGGTTCACCGAGGCCCTATGTCCTTTGTGAAAAGGTGAGTACTTCGTGTACGTTCCTCGGTGAGCAGCGACATTCGTGTTTTTCTGCACAACTAGAACAAAATGAATTATACCCGTTTTTTATTGACATTCTGAATCTCCCTGGATTGTCATCAATGAGTTGCTCGACATTTTCAATTATTGTAAACTACCATTATACTTATATATAGCACACTTTCACATAAAGTAATTTATAGACAAATCATTATGATTCTAACACAACTCAATTCAACTTGCCCTAAAACATATATATGAGAGTTATGAATTTGACTTAATGACTGACCGACCCCCTCTCCTCTTAACCAATTTATCGGCAGACGTTGGTAATTTTCAGAAGTTACTACCAATCAATGTTGCCCAATGGGTGGTTTTCCCACCCAATTGGGCTGGTTTATAAGCCTGTTTGCGGGAAATTTTGGGAGGTTGCGGGTTGCGGGTTTTTGGGCTGGGAATAACTTTTTGCGGGATTTTTTGGGCTGGAAAAAAATTTGATGATCTAGCCTCCTCGTGTTTTTGTTTTTGTCGTGGTAAACAGCAATTGTGCTAATCTAACATGGGAAAGTGGGCAAAATACCAGAAAAAGTATTGTAAAGACCGGGAAAAGGAAGAAATCTTGAAAGAATGGATTTTGAGTGTAACAGGAGATGACCAAAAAGCATATTGTAAGTACTGCAAAACTCAAATTCGAGCACATCATGGGGATCTAGTTTCCCATGCAAAAACTGAGAAACATAAGCGCAACAAGCAACCTTTTTCCAGTTCAAGAACCTTATTTGAGTTAGGTTGTCAAAGTAAAAAAGTAGACAGTTCTCTAAAATTTACAGAGATAAAGATTGCTGCCCACATCGCGTGTCATTCTAGCTTAAACACCGTGGATCATCTTGGCGAGTTATTTAAAGATGTCTCAGGGAAAGATGTTAAACTCCACAGAACAAAGTGTACTGCATTGATTAAATGTCTGTCAGGACCAGCAATGTTAGAACAGCTACTTCAAGAATTGGTCGATATCCCTTATTCACTTATTATAGATGAAACATTGACATTGGCAATGAAAAACAACTGTACTTTATGGTTAAATATTACAGCATAGCCAAACAACAGATTCTCACAAGCTTCCTTGGACTTTTGTCTATTGAATCAGGAACGGCAGAGGCCATTTTTCAAGCCATAATTGAATTTTTGAGAGCAAAGGAACTTGATATCAAGCAGTGTATAGGCTTGGCCACTGATGGGTGCAACACAATGTGTGGAAGGAACAATTCTGTAATCACAAAATTTCGTGAACTATGCCCTAACATAATACATATAAGATGCATTTTTCATTCTATCCAACTTTGTTCCTCGCATGCTCTTAAAGTAATGCCCCGGAATGTGGAGTTCATGGTGTCAGAAACGCACAACTGGTTTTCTCATAGCACTTCTAGGCAACGAAAGTATCGCCTGATACTATCAACGTGGGGGAAGCACCTTTGAAGATTTT